TGACAAAGGGTGTTTACAAAAGGATATCATCAAGAAAGTGGAAAAGAGAACCACCCACAGAATGGGAGAAAATGTATGCAAATCACATGTCTGATAAGGGATTTATAACCAGAACATACAAAAAATTTTAAGATCAATAATAAAAAGACAAACAACCCAGTTAAAAACTAGGCAAAAGATTTGAGTAGACATTTCTCCAAAGAACATATAAAAAATTACTGATAAGCACAAGAAAAAATGTTCAACATCATTAGTCATTAGAGAAAGGCATATCAAAACTACAATAGGCTATCACTTCACATCTACTAAGATGGCTATAATGTAAAAAAAGGACAGACATTAACAAGTGCTGGAGAAGATATGGAGAAATTGGAACCCTCATATATTACTGGTAAGAATGGAAAATAGTGTGGGTACCTTGAAAAACAGTTTGGTTGTTCTTCAAAGTGCTAAACATAAAGTGACCATATGACCCAGCAATTCCATTCTTAGGTATATACCCGAGAAAAATGAAACGTGTCTATACAAAAACTTGTACACAAATGGGCAAAGCAGCATTATTCATAACAGCCAAAATGTGGAAACAATCTAAATGTCCATCAAGTGATGAATAAAGAAAATGTGGGGCCAGCCCCATGGCCGAGTAGTTAAGTTCGAGCACTCTGCTTCGCTGGTTTGGATCCTGGGCCCCGACATGGCACCACTCATGAAGCCATGCTGAGGCAGCATCCCATATGCCACAACTAGAAGGACCCACAACTAAAAATATACAGCTATATCTGGGGGGCTTTGGGGATAAAAAGGAAAAATAATTCTTTAAAAAAGAAAAAAAGAAAATGTGGTATATCCATACAGACGAATATTATTTGGCTATAAAAAAGAATAAAGTACTGATACGTGCTACCACATGGACGAACCTTGAAAACATTATGTTAAGTGAAAGAAGACAGTCACAAAAGACCAGAGGTTGTATGATTCCCTTTATGTGAAATGTCTGAAACAAATCCAGAGAAGAGAGAAAATAGATTAGTGGTTGCCAGGGTCTGGGAGTGTGGGGGCCAGGGGGAATGACTGCTAATGTGTATAGGATTTCTTTTTTTTTTTTTAGTAAGGAAGATTAGCTCTGAGCTAACATCTGTTGCCAACCTTCCTCTTTTTGCTGAGGAAGACCGGACCTGAGCCAACATCTACGCCCATCATCCTCTACTTTGCATGTCAGTCACCGCCAGAGCATGGCTTGATGAGCAGTGCGTAGGTCTGCCCCCAGGGATCCGAACCTGCAGACCCCGGCCACCAAGTGGAGCCTGCCAACTTAACCACTATGCCACCAGCCGGCCCCAGGGTTTCTATTTCCGGTTTTGAAAATGTTCTAAATTTACATTGGGTTATAATTGCATAACTCTGTGAATATACTAAAAATCATTGAATTGTACGTTTTAAAAGGGTGAATTTACGGTATATGAAATATATTTCAATGAAGCTGTATAAAAGATGTAGAAGAATGGCTTAATAAAGCTGTATCACTCAGCTTCAACCATTATCAGCTCAGGACCAATCTTGTTTCATCTATACTGCCACCTGCCACCACTCTCACAGTGGGTTATTTTAAAAGCAAACCCAGATATTATTGCTTCTGTAAATATTCCATTTTTTAGTAATATTCAGTAGTATCTCTCCAAAAGATACGGACTCTTTAAAAAATATATATAACATGATACCTTTTATTTTTCTCCCTTTTATTTATTGAATAAATGGGTTGTTTGCCATTGGCCAAAACTGGGTCATGTGCCCACCCCTAATCTCCCACCAGCCAGTCAAGAGGATCCTATTACCCTTGCCCATGATAGGTTTAGGAGTGTACCTCTGAAATTATAATAGGGTCACCTTCCCCAATGGGTGAACACCTGTATAGGCTTCTGCAAAGAGGAAGGAAGAGGGTAGAAAGGATGTTGAGCAGGCAAGCAACAGTACCACATGTTCCTAATTAGGTATGCGACACTTTCCATTGTGAATAATGAACATACTTCATTAGAACTGCCACATCAAATATTCTACTTTCGATCAAGTGACATTTACTGTCAACGTATCAGCTTCCTCATCTGCACAAAGAAGAGACTAGACAAGATGGCCTGCAAGGTCCCTTCCAGCTCTAGGAGTTCTGTTTCAATTTTACATTCTCATTTTCCAAAAAGTAAGTTGAAAAGTCAAACCTACAAAGTATGGTTCAGAAATGATGACGAGTTTTAACTGATAAGTCATAGGTATGGCTGACATCCTTTCATCCCTTAAAAGATTTTAGATATAGACATTAGATTTAAAGAACTCAATAGACTAGAACTGATGTCTTTCCATTAATTTTTTTGTTTTTTTAGAAAGATTATCCCTGAGCTAACATCTGCTGCCTATCCTCCTCTTTCTGCTGAGGAAGACTTGCCCTGAGCTAACATCCGTGCCCATGTTCCTCTACTTTATATGTGGGATGCCTGTCACAGCATGGCTTGACAAGCAGTGTGTACGTATACGCCCAGGATTCGAACTGGCAAATCCCTGGCTGCAGAAGCCAAACATGTGAACTTAACCGCTGCACCACCAGGTGGCCCTCCATTAAGTTTTAAGATCAAAAATAGAAAGGTTAAGTGTTCTACCTTCCTCACTCATCCATTAACACCTCCTAGCTTTTGGCCCTGATGTACAGACAGAGATCGATTACAAGTTCCTTTTCACAACTCCCTTTTCAGTTTGGCATCAACATCCTCCGGGAGCTTATACATGTCTCTGGGACTGTCAGATAGCTCTTGTATCTCTGCTTTGGCTGCCAACCATGATTTTAACTTAAGAAATCATTTCTCTGCCTGCTTCCTTTCACAGTCTTTGTCTGAAGTAACGCTACATTCATTTCATCACACACAGACATTTTCCTTGTGAGGAACCACAAGGAAGCAAAGAGAAGATAGCACACCACCAAGCATTTTTGCTATACCAAACCTTTGCTACCCTTTCTTCCAATCAGAATAAAATTGCTTTATTATTCTCAGCTTACACCTACCATCAGCTTTCTCTGGGAAAATTGCTGGCTTGATCTACATGCAGACCCATTCTTATTTAACAGAAGGCTATGACTGTGACAAATGCGTGACATAAAAAAGTCAAAGACATGGTATCCGTCATACAGGACATTTGGAATAGCAAATGTACAGGAAAACTTGAGAATGTGATTTAACCTGGCTTGGCCACACCGCCATTTCATTTAAGTCTTTCTAGCTCCGATGCGTCATTCTGGTGAGGAGGCCCAGGGTGCGGTCCATTACCACAGTTGGCGGTGGAAACCACACTGGTCTCTCAGTCAGCAGCTCCTGTGTACCACTGTTCATTATGCTAGTTCCAAGAACCTTAGGGTATTAACTTTATTTTCTGATCCAGCCCACCTACTAGGGAAGGTGTGGCCCTGTTTTGAAATGCACAAAGGAAAGACGGTGCTGAGAAAGCTCTTTGGGGAAGGCCTACAGTGCCCAGCCTGGAAGGAGACAAGATAGGCTTACTGACCAGCTGGATGACCTTAAATGAGTCACATCCCCTCCCTGTGCCTCTTAGAACTCTGACTGGAGAAAAATCCTCACGCTGCGCCTCACAAGTTGTTGCAAAAATCAAGTGAGAATGTAAATAGGAAAGTATTTGCACAAATGCAAAGTGGTGTTATTATTTTCAAATATGGAATTTCCTCTGCAGCACCTTTTTTTTTTTGGCCACATGATTACGGCACAGATCATGCCAGATTACGGTGCTGTTTCATCTCGGTTCACCCTTTGCCTGTTCTAGACAGAGATTACACCAGCAATGCTGCATCGCTCCCTTTGGTTCATTTTCCTTCCACCACATCTCTAAGACGCAAATCTCACCACGGTGTGAAATACTGCATAGCAACCACTTACAAAACTCAACATACCTTAAACTGTCAAGATAAGTGCTATAAGAGTGACATTAGAAGCATGCAGCAAGGGTTCAAAAAGCAGAGAGATCACATGCAATTAGAAAAAGCATTTGGAAGGTAACCCCATTACACCAAGTATTTTAGTAATTTCCATCTTGGTCCTATGTCACCCCACCCCACTTCCATGCTTCAGAGACAAGATAGTATATTCTCTATCTTTGTAGCTCCCAAGAACCTGGCGAAGAGGACATCCCAGTGTTGAGAGATGAAATTAACTGGCTAAATGGCTGACAGTAACAAGCCTGGTGGGTCTTAACATTATTTACCCAGCCCAGTGAGACCCAGTTATCTTTAGCTCAGCAGTCTATGTAGGATTTTCCAGGCTGTAAGTGTGCCCGGGAACGCCCTTGCACCTCCCAAGGAAGGAACCTTTATTGAGGGTCTGCTAACTGCCACACAGAGGTGCTTTCAAGTATGTACCTAATATGTGTTTAGTCCTCACAACATGTCTTCAAGCTGTAAGCCTATTTTACAGATGAGGATGCTAAGGCTCGGATAGGCTGAGTTGTCCAGTCTCATAGCTAGTGCAGCCACAGCGTGTGCGTGGGCTCTCCAACACCCCCACCCCCAAACTTTAAATCAGCTAAATCCCACCTTGCTTACCGCCCTCTCCCTGGGCATCTACCCTAGCTACTCCTCCTTCCCACGCCCTAGCCCCAGGCCCGCGGAAAAGCTAGGTCTTAAAGCTTCCACATAAAGATGCTCACTCACCCAACTGCTCCTCACAAGCTTGAAAAGCCTTTGCCACCCACCCTATCAGTAGCCCCGCGCTTCTCAAAAGAGCCTGCACGGCTTTTTCCCAAGGGTGAGGTCCGCCCCGCGGGCAGAGCGGTCACGGGGTCGGCACGCAGATTCCGGGCGAGGACACCTGCCGGGAGAGCGGGCCGCGGAGGATGGGGAGCCCCAGGGCGGCGGCGGCGGCCCGGGAGGGGTCCCGCCTCCGCGCGGCCGCGGCGCGCCGCCCGGAACTACGCTTCCCAGCCTGCCCCGCTGCAGCCGCGCGCCCCGGCGCCGCGCCCGGCCGGGAGCCGCCTGTTGATCGCCGCGCTCGCCCCGGCCGCGGCGCCGCCCCTGCTCGGCCGGCCCCGCTCCCTCGGGGCTGACGGACGGACGGCCCGCACCGACGGCTCCGGGATGGCCGCACGGACCGGTGAGCGCGCCGGGCGGGGAGGGGGAGCCCGCCCGGGCGAGGCGCTGTCTGCAGCCCCGCGCCCTCCCTGCGGGCTGGAGGATGCTCGCGGCGTCGGCGCTCGGCCGGGCGGGGGGACGGGCGCGCGGGGCAGGGGCTGCCTCCTGCCTCCCCGGCCCGGCGGGCGGCGCGGGGGAGAGCGCTGCAGAGGGCGGCGCGGGCGGGGGGCGCCCGCCGGTGTGGGTCCCACGCCCTGCACTGCGGCTCCGCAGCCTCTGCAGCCCGCCGGGCCGCTGCAGCGAGGGCGCGGTCTCCTGCCCTCCCCGAGCTGCGGGGCTAGGTTTTTCCATGCTGGGCTTTGTTCCCCCCTTTCTCCTCCTGTGAACGTTTGACAAGCTCCTGGAGCCTAATGCCCCTCACTGTATCGTTAAAGCGGGCGACAGAAAGGGTGGACTCTGGCTGGCATCTTTTTCTAAGATCCCTGAAGCTGTCACCCGCAGGGCGTCTCAGCCTCCGAGAAAGCGGCATTCAGAGAGCGGCCTGATGCAGGTCCTCGAGATCCTCATTTTTTTTTTTTTTTCCTGGTTAAAGTGATGGTAGCCTGTGCTGCCTTGAGTCTTTCTCATTTTTCTCTGTTGACCTGCAGAAATGAAGATTGATTTTAAAATAATAATAAAAGACTCCTAATGGGCATCTTTACTTAAAGTATTTAAAGGTGGGAAGGTAGTGCAGGCAACATGCAAATTAGCAATGAAGGAGACCGTGAATGTTATGGCTTCATCTTGCCCGCTACACATCCGAATCACGAGGCACTTGGGAAGGCAATGAAAAGAACATCGGGGGGGAGGTTAAAACCAGGTTCCTGTCCTAGCTCTACCGTTAAGGAGCTGAGGGAGTCTAGGCAAGTCCTTTCACCTCTCTGTGCTGCTTTCTCCATATAAAATGGGGCCTTTGGGCTAAATGATTTCTAAACCCCCGTTCTTCCAAGATTCTTATGTCAGGGAACTGAAGAGATGAGGATGCTTCTCTTGAACATTGTTACAGAAAGCCCGATTGTGACAGAACAAGTGGCATTCCCTTAGTGAGGAGGAAAGATTTTTCAGGGCTTGGGCAATCTGATTTTTTAAAAAATAAAACTGATTTCCTCTATACTCTCTTCAATCTCACCCAATAAATATGCATTACAATCGTTTTAATCTTTGTAAATTACTGTAAATTGGTAGGCAACAACATGTGCTTTTTGTTTGTTTTTTTTGTTTTGTTTTTAATTTGCTGAAGGTGAAGTGATGTGATCAGCAGGTAAAGGGAGAAGCAAATGGCTCCTCGGGGCTGGCCGGCAGTGGGCAGATGGGGTGGGCAAAGAGGTGGGGAGGGAGCCCTGACAGGAAGTAACCAGTGAGTATATACACTGAAGAAAGAGAGGAGGGGCACTGATGGGTCATTGTTTGAATCAGAAATACACAATAGAAGGAATGAGAGATCCAGGAAACCCGTGCTCTGCAAACCCTGCCCTAACTGATTCAGGCAAGGACTCATCCATGGGTACAAAACCTTTGAGTGAAAGGTGGTTGGAAAGCGGGATTTTCACATTATTTCAAAGTATGTCACACAGATTACCTAGGGAAAATGTGTCCTGACAATGGAGAGATGAGAGGTCATCATCTTAGCCTAGAGGTCAAGCTTGCCAGCACCTGTATGAGTCTCCCATTGGGATGCAATAAGAAGGTCGTAACTTCACCTGTGTAGTGTGCCTGCCAAAAAGACTTGGGGGGAAGGGGGGTGACTTTTGTAAATTAAAATACTTAGGTGATGTAACAACCAGTTAGAATGTGTCAACTTTGGATCCTAGATCAGAAAAAAATAGCTATAAGAGATGATTTGGAGACAAGTGGAGTAATTTGAATATGGACTGCATATTAGATAATATTATGGAATTACTGTTCATTTTCTTAGGTGCAGTAGTGGTACTGTGATTATGTAGGACACTGTCCTTATTCTTTTGAGCTGTGGGTGTTAGAGGCAATGTGTCATGACGTCTACAACGCTCAGCTGGTTCAAGAAAAGAAAGGTCTAAGGTAGAGGCAAGCTGAGAAATGGAGCAAAATGATGACAGTTGGTGAGTCAAAGAGAATGGTATACAGGTGTTTATTGTACTAGTCTCTTACCTTTTCCATAGATTTGAACTTTTTAAATAAAAAAATTGGGGTGCCTGCTTCAGCTGCACATATACTAAAATTAGAACGACACAGAGAAGCTGAGCGTGCCCCTGGGCAAGGATGACACACAAATTCGTGAAGCTTTCCATATTTTTGATGGCAGCTAGACATTTGGTGGGGAACACGATGTAGTGTACAGAAGGCGAAATATAATGATGTACCCCTGAAATTTATACAACATTATAGATCAATGTAACCGCAATAAAAGAAAAAGAAGAAGAAGCAGCATGAATGGGAGTGAAGGGAAATTAATTGCCTGCTCTTTCTAAAAGTACAGGAGAAATGTCCACACGGGGACCTGCAAGCCCTGCCACTGCTGCTGGGAGCCAGGGGCCCCAAGGGCTGCCCGCTTGCAATGTTAGCTGCCCCGTGGCCTGGGCACTATGGTCTGAGTCCGTGGTGTAAAGAAGGGCTACTAAAAAAAAATGGCAGAAGATCAATAAAATAAATAAGTAAATAAAGAGAAAGAATTGTTGGAGAACTGTGTGGTTAGTGACAGAGAGCTGCAGTGAATCTGTGGGGAACTCACAGTGAATCTGTGGCTTCAGATTCCCGAAATTTGAATCCTATTGGAGATGTGAGTGGGGCCCGGGAAATTCCCTTGTTTGGTTCCTCTTGGCTACTGTCAATCATTTATTCATAAGACACTCCATCCCCTGACTCCAACGTCAAAGTGTTAATAATTCCCAAACTTTAGAACTTCTAGCCCTACCTGAGAACCATCCTCAAAATTTGGTCCCCTTCCTCTCTCCGTCCAAGATCTGTGTCAGTGTAGAAGGAAGTTCCAGGTGGTGGTTCTTCTCATTTTGAGTTAGAGGAGTGTTGGGGAAAGAAGAGATCCAGCTTTTTGACAGAACAGAAGTTGTGGGGTTTCCTCTCATTCCCTGTACGTGTGAGTCACAAACAACCAAATGTTTTCTGTATACGCTCTAAGTAGTTCAAAGAGTTGTATAGAAGGCGTGTGCAAAAGAGACTTCCTCTTACCAGACCAAGAAAATGGAATCAACTCTTAAGATAAAGAATTTTATACAGAAAGTTTTGCTGCAGCGTCTTTTTGTTATACCTGGAATATCTATATTTCTGCTTTTAGGTTTTGCCCTCCTGTTTAGGCATCAAAGCTGCCCCATAATGATTTCTTTCATGTTTGTTGCCAGTATTCCTGGATTTCGCTTGTGACAGCTAGCTGGAGTGGAAATGAGAAGGTCAGCTCTAGAACTGTGGGTAACAGGAGATCATAAAACAGGAAACAAGACCAGTCATGCCAAGCCTGGATATGAGGAGAAAGGAGCAAATCTGGGGCACTAGCCCTAAGAAAGAACCAGGAGGCTTCTTGTGAGGGTGATTGGAGGGGTCTGGAGTCAGTGAACTGGGCTGCTCTTCAGCCAGCATGTGGGGGGATAGCCATCCCCATTTTTATAGCTGACAGCCATTCTGATTGGGCAGTGCCCACTCCATACTAGTTGCTAAATATTTGGCATGTCGTCTTGGTAAGCAGTCATGAGTCAAGGTGCCCCTAGCACCTGTAAGTCATAACAAAGCATTGATCAAAACCTAGCTGGGATACAGATGCTAGACAATGAGACAAGATAGGTGGGTCAAGGAGCATGTAAGCAGGCAGAAGCCAGGAGGGCACATAAAGCAAATGCAGGAGAGCAGGGAACCCATGGTGCCAGTCAGGAATTGAGAAGCCCATCACTTCCCGAAGGCAAGAGGAGGGGACGTGGCTAGAACCAACAAAACAGTTAAAAACTAGAAAGACACAGATACACAAGAGGAAGGTAAAGAGGTAGACAGAGGTCAAGAAATAGGAACGCCTCAGAAAACAGAGCATAGGGCAAGACAGAGGGATAAGGCGGCAGCAGGAAGTAGGACCCTCCAAGAGACTTAGAAACCAGGTGGCAGTCTGCGCAGACCGTAAGACTTCCATGCGGAAGAGCTTCTGCTCAAGCCAAGGAGCTTCTTGGCTACTGCCTGCCCAGGTGGAAACCTATCTCATGCTGTGGCCAGCCTACACATGGTGGCTTGCTACACCTGGCAACCCCGACCCAGGACTCTTATAGGATGCGCCTGTCCATATTCAACAGATTCTGACAAGGATGACAGAGGGAACAAATACCCAAATAGAAGACTATTCCCAGAGCAAGAACAAAAGAGAAATGGCTGGGACTGAGGGCTTGTATGTCCTAGTCAGTGTGCCTAGCACGTACACTATCACATTAAGCATCACCTCCACCTTCTGAGAGAGGTACTGTTCTTTTCCTGTTTTACAGAGAAAAACAGAGGCTTGGAGAGGTTGTCACTCGCAACCTGGGTCTATAACCATCAGACCTGGGGCTGGCTGACTCCAAGGCCCATGTTTTAGTCTTTTGTGCTCTTCTGAACCTGGAGGGGGTGTGGTCACTAGTGGGCACATTGTTTTAAAAGGGGACTATTTTCCAGCTCAATTTTAGCGCTGCCAACTTTTGTGTTGGGAGATTGGGAAATTAAGAACAAATAGTCTCAGATGCAGACTATTCATTCTGGTATGATCTGTTCCTCATGACCTTTCAAAAGAGATTTACAATTCAATTTATAATTTGAGATTTATATATAATAAATCACTTAGCAGCTACCCTACTTGGGTAGTTGAACCTGGGTCCCCCATCTCCAGTCCAGCCCCTCTCCTCCCAGTGTGGTGTCTGTCCTTCCCGTGAGGAGTCCTTTGTAGCTTTCCTAGATATGTGTGTGCTCCAAAGCAATGTATGGCACTGTTTTGCCCATTTAAAAAGCTTTTCACTAGGTTTTTCTAGAGTATTTTTTGTTTACTCTTTTGTAAAAATTAGTTTCTTGTTTGTTTTGAGTTCAATAAATAGGACTGCTTGTTTTGGCTTTGGTTCTAAGTCTCTGTGTGTAGGCAGGGCCAAAGGCTGGGCACTTCATGTTGTATCTGATTTTTCTCTTTCATACCACAGTTATACAAATAAGGTAGTGGAAAGAGAAGCAAAGAAAGCCCCACTCCTTGTTTTCCTTCCCAGGGCTCCTATCTTTGGGTAATAGGAAGTTATTTGAGGGCCCAGGTCATGTCGTCCGTCCTTCAGCTCCAGTCCTTTCTCCTATTTTCCATTTCCCTAACTGGCTGGGTGTCCTTGCCCACCTGGACTCCTGGAAGCCTTGTTTGGCACTTGCTTCCTTCTAATGTGCACATTAGTATCTTGTTGCACGCTGAGTGCTTGCCATGGGATGGGCACTCTGCTGGAGGCGAGGCTGCAACAGCGCTTTGCAGGCTTTCCACTGGGGGTTCGCTAGCAGGAGGAGAGAACAAACGTGAACCCTTGTGGGACCTGGGTGGGGGCTAAAGCAGGCTAGCCAGGAGCCAGAAATCGGCAATTTGACTTTAAAAGCTATGTGAATGCCATATTCTTCTCCACAGTATATCTCTATTTGTTATAAAAAAATAATAATAATAACTAGCTTCCCCCAAATCTTCAAGTCAAAGCTGTGCTCCAGAAGGATGCACCATTTTTTTCCTTCTCCTCTGGCATTGAGATCCCCACCCCCCCCCGCCCCCCGCTGTACGTTGTTACAATGTGTGCAATTTGTTTTAACAGCTACTGTTACGTAGTATTAACATATTATTGTAACTACTTACTTTATTTCTCTTACGCTACTAAACTGTAAGTTCAGGTGGGGCACAGGACTTCATGTTTTGTTCACTGCTATTCTCCCAGCAGTGTCTGGAAAGGTGGGCTTTCAGTAGATGTTTGTTGAATGAATGTACAAACCCGAGCTTGAATAAAGGTTTACGACATCATCCCTGTCCTCTGGGAGTTTATGGTGTAGTTGGAGAGAGAGCCATATATGGAACATACATAAAAGGATAATAAGAGAGCAAGGGTCAAACACCAAACTGGTGATGTAGGCAATGCAAATTTAGGAAGGGGAGCAACTTCCATGGGCTTTGGTGGCCTCTGGAAGTCCCATGACAGAGGATGGAGACAGTGGATGTGGTGGAGTGAGCTCTGGACCAGTGGGTCACCACACCTCTCTAAGCTCATTTCCTTCATGTGACGTTTGTTGAACAATATTTGTTGGATGCCTACTCTGGGTCAAGACCTGTGCTGAGAGCCAGGATTCTAACAGTGACTAAACCTGATACAATCTCCACCCTCACAGAGATTAGCAAGGAATACAGAGATAAAACAAGTCATTTTAATAAAGTCAAGGAGAGCTCTGATCAAGGGTGTGCCCTGGGGGCTAGGGAGTGACTCACACCTCATCTGGGGGGTCCCAACAAGGCCTCCATGAGGACTTGAACCTTACATTGAGACCGAAAGATGAGTAGGTGAGCCGTCAGTCAAAGGAGGAGGGGGTAAGAGTGCTCTGAGCAGAGGGAACAACATAAGGCATGATCCAGGAACTGGAAGTGGTCCAGGAGGCTGGAGCCAGGAGGAGATGGGGAGTGCAGTGCAGGATGAGGCTGATGAGAATGACAGAGGCCAGACTGTGAATTTGAACCGTATCCTGAAGGCAATGGGAATTTTAAGTAACTAGAAAAAAGTTGTTTCAAAAGATCCCTTTGGCCATTTGTATGGAGAATGGATGGAAAGGGAGTGAGGCTGGATGTGGCAGTGCAGAGAAGTGAAGTAGGTGGGTTCTCAACAAGTTTGGGTAAGGATGGGATGTGGTGATTGACAAGGAAGAGAAGCTGTCAAGAGGGGCTCCCTGATTTCTTGGCCAGTTTCCTGAAGCTGGAAATTCTAGAGGAGGAGATGCTGTTTGGAAGAAAAGATGATGGGAGTACCTCTGACATTTCAGGTGCCTGAGACAGCCAAGTAGAGATGTCAGTTCCACAGTTGGAAATATATGGACCTAACCCTCAGGGACAAAGTCTAGGATAAAGATATGGATTTTGGGGTCTTCAGGATATGGATTATAATTAAAACTTTGGAGGTGATGAGTTTCCCCAGAGAGAACATATAGTGTGAGAAATGAAGTTGTAGACAGGACCTTGCAGCGTGCCAGTCTTTAAGGTGGAGGAAGAGGAATTGCCAAAAAGAGGCCACGAAGGAGTGATCAGAGAAGTAGGAGAAAAACCATCGAAGTTGCTGGACTGGATGATCTTTAAGGCCTTGCTCAGCTCTGATATTCTGTGGCCCCGCAGAGCTGGGATCTGAGCCAGGTCTCTGATGCAGAGCACATGGTAGGCCATGAGAATAGAGGAGGGCATTCCAAGAAATATTACTGTCTCGGCCAAGGTCCCAACAAGAAACAGAGGACACACTCAAACTGAATAATTTGAGGGGATTTTAATAAAGAGGCTATTTACAAAGATGTAGGGAGGGTTTAGGGAATCCAACAAGGCAGAAACCTGGCACTGCCACACAGGGACCCTTCACCACCCCCAGGCCTGAAGTCAGCAAGGGGAGGGCAGCTGCACAGAGAGGGCTGCCTAAGAGGAGGTGTGGCCTCAGGACCCAGCCTCCCTCTCCTCCTGTCCTCCAGTGTCCTGCTGGTGCCTCCTGTTGGCCAAACAGAAGCCAGAGAGCAAAGGAACCTATTGATGCAGTGTAAATAGATCATCTTCCTGGGGCACAGAGCAGGGTGGGAGTGGATATGGAGATGAAAACAAGATAGCCAAAACAGTTATCTGGGAGAATGGAAGGGTAAGAGAGTATATTAGTTTCCTGTTGCTGCTGTCACAAGTTCAGTGGCTTAAAACAACTCCAATTTATTATGTTACAGTTTTGGAGATTATTAGTCCGAGACACGTTTTATGAGGGTAAAATCAACATGTCAGCCAGGCTGCATTCCTCTCTGAAGGCTCTGGGGGGAATCTGTTTCCTTGCCTTTTCCAGCTTCAGAGGCCGCCCACATTTCTTGGCTCTTGGCCCCTTTCTCTATCTTCCAAGCCAGTCATGGCATCACTCTGACCCTCTGCTTCTGTCGTCACATCTTGTTCTTTAACTCTTCTGCCTTCCTCTTCCATCTTTTAAGAGCCTTTGTGATTACATTGGGCCGACCCAGATAATCCAGGATAATCTTCGTATTTTAAGATCCTTCATCACACCTGGTCCCTTTTGCCATGTAGAGTAACATATTCCCAGGTTCTGGAGATTAGCATGAGGATTTATTTAGGGGGCTATTATTCTGCCTACCACAGAGAGTGAATAAACCATTTTGACTGGAGCAGAGGGCTCCCTCGGAAAATAATGAAGAGAGAAAACAGTAAGAGCAGATCAAAGTCAAATTATGGGAGTTTTGGATACTAGCCTATCTGAATTTCATTCTGTAAACAAGAGGGAGCCATTGTAAGTCCTTAATCAGGCAAGTGGCTTATTAGCAGTGTTAAGAAAAAGACGATCTGATTGTGGTGCTCTGGGTGGTTTAGAGGGAAGAATAGAAACCTTATGAGATGCAATTAGAGTAGTTCAGGCCCAAAGAAACAGACGTCTAAAACCAGTGACAGGAAGGGATGGTGTGAAAGGTGCTATGCAGAAAGAATCTACAGGAGGTGCTAACGACTAGACCTGGAAAGAAGGAGAAGAATCTAAGGGTGGTCTGAGTTTTGGAAGTGACTGACTAGTAGATTAATGATATGGTCTAGAAAATCAAGAGAGCGAGTCTGTTTCAGGGGGAGATGAGAAGCTGGGTATAGTTGTAGAATCCTGGACTAGAACTACAAATAGAATCTTATCAACTCTAAGACACCATCAATTTTAAAACACACCAATATTTTATGTATTACTAAGAAAAATGCTGCCAATGGAAATATGACACATGCCTTCTTAAAAATATAATTTTTACTTTATGAAAGAGCTGTTTTAGACTTACAGTAGAGTTTTGAAATCTTTTAATTGGCATACAATGAATTGCACATATTTAAAGTGTACAGTTTGAGAAGTGTCGACATATGCAGGCACTTGTGAAACCATTACTACAGTCAAGGTACTGAACCTATGTATGACCCCCAGAAGTTTCCTCCGGCCTCTTCATAATCCCTCCCTCTGCCACCCGCTACCTCTATCCCATCCCTAAGCAACTACTGATTTTCTTTCTGTCATATAGATCAGTTTACATTTTCTAGAATTTTAGATAAATGGAATCATACTGTATACATTCTTTTTGGTGTTTCTTCTTTCATTCAGTATAATTATTTTAAGTTTCATCCATGTGGTGTGTGTCAATAGTCTGTTCCTTTTTATTTCTGAGTAGATCCCATTATGTGATTATGCCACAATTTGTTTATCCATTCACCTGCTGATGATCATTCAGGTTGTTTACAGTTTTTGGCTGTTACAAATAAAGCTGCTATGAATATACATTGATTTTTTAAAATCATATATCACCCCTTTGGGTACATAAAAAGGAGAAATGCAAGTAAAATGAATTGGTTAATACTCTTAAAACTTCTTCACGTTCAGAGTCCAAGTTTTTGAATTGCTTTTTGACTCATAGTCATCTATGTCTGGTTTTTTCCCCACACAATACCTCCTCTTTGCCATCAAGAGTGGTAATTTTAAAAAAAAGTCTGTAAAAGAACTGAAAGCCCTTGATGCTGGGCTCTTCAGCCTGCTCCCTTACGTGGAATCTGGACCTTCCTTTGAGAGTGTTGCTAAACATACCTGAGTTGCCACCTCCCCCACTCCCTGCCCCCTGGGTTTTAAAAGAGTGTGCCACTCATTTTAAAAGTTCCTGGGATTTTTCCAAATCCCTGATACCCATTCTGCTAGTTTTAAAGCTGGTGCTTTTGATATTTTACGCATTTGTAGGCAATGACAAGTACATCTTGACTGCTACTGGGCCAACAGTAATTATAGGACCATCTATTGTAAGACACATCTCAATTTCACAATGTTAAGTGTGGGAAACTGCATCTTACAATCCATTACGTAGGCTAGTTCAACCAGTTCACTTGATGGCTAAGAGCCTGGCAGATTGAGCTCCTTGTCCAGTGTCACAGGATGAATTAGTGGCTTGGGCCAGAACAAAGTGTATCTGATCCACTTGGTTTCTCTGACTTTTGTGGGATGGTTTTTTTGTTTGTTTGTTTTACTGAACTATAGCAATTGAAACTTAAAAGACGGTGGGCTGATGAAAGGAAAGGAGAGTTACATTGTAGAAAAGACACCTAAATAGAAAACCACAAACTTGAACATGGTAAGCAGTTGAATTAACAAGGGGAGGGGAGCAACATTCTAATAGGCCTTCAGTGGCCCACTATGACCAGTCTCTTTACATGCCAACCCATTCTTCATTCTTACCATTTGAATTACCTTATTAAAAAACATGGGCGGCCAGCCCCGTGGCCAAGTGGTTAAGTTCACACGCTCTGCTTCGGTGGCCCAAGGTTTCGCCATTTCGGATCCTGGGCACGGACATGGCACCGCTCAGCAGGCCACGGTGAGGCAGCATCCCACATGCCACAACTAGAAGGACCCACAGCTAAAAATATACAACTATGTACTGGGGGGCTTTGGGGGGAAAAAGGAAAAAATAAACAAACAAAAAACCAGAGCTTCTCAGATCATTCCTCTACTTGAAAAACTTGTGGTAGCTCCCTATCTCGCGCAGAATAAAGCCCAGGTTCCTTGGCAAGCCGTATCCAGAAGACCCTTCACATATATCTTTTCCTTGTTTTTGGTTCTTTCCTCTCTCCACCTGCCCCCACCCCCCAGCCACAGCAACCATTCACCAACATATCATGTACTTTCTTATCTTATGCCTTTGTTTACACTGCGCCCTTTTCCTGGAATGACCCTTCCCACCATGTCCACGTCCTGACCTCTTCCTTCAAGGCTCAAACTCAGCCTCTTTTTCAGTTTCTCCTCAAATCAACCCCCCATCCAATGACTATTTCCTCATATGTCTTTAAACCTACTTTATACATTACTTCTCCTATAACACTTATCAAATGGTCTTATCCCTATTTGTGTGTCTCACTGAGCTGTGATCTCCTTGAGAAAGGGGTCATATCTTGTTTATCTTTGTATTTCCGGTTTCTAGAACTGTGCTTGGCAAGTAGTAGGTGCACAGCCAATATTAATTGCCCTGAAAGGTCTGATGGATGTTAACGCCTCCAAAGGAGAAACACAATCAGTTAAGTACATTGCTATTTCCTGAATGTAGATCTTCCAGGGAAGATCTGTAAAATCCTATGCAAGGAAGAAAGGATGGAGTAAAAGTTTCATTTTAGTGGAAGTTTAGGAGAGAGGTGACATAAAAAAGGGGGTTGAAAGGACAATGGACTAGGGGTATAAAGAATTAGGGAGAATGGCTAAAGAAACAAAAAGGAAAATGGAGCTAGAAATAGAATGGGAGAAGAGGAAAGAAGAAAAGAGAGGAGAGAAGTGGAGAGAGTGATTATGTGGCCAGGATTTTAGACTCTCCCTTAGTTTAATTGCAGGGGAATTATTGGACAGCACTTTCTCACATGGACGTTCCAACCCTCTTTCTTGAATGAACCCCGTTTTGTATTCTTCACATCACTCTCTCCCTGAAAAGCCCCAAGTGTGCTTCTTACAAGTGCCTTACAATCAGTGCTCTGTTCTTCCTTGTTTTCTGTGGAAAGCTGGAGGAGGCAGAGTAGTCTGGTGGAAAGGCCCACTACACTGGGAATCAGAAGGCCTGGCACGTCCCAGCTCTGGGGTTTCAAGCAAGGCAATTAGCCACCTTCGCCAGAATCTTCATCTGTAAAATGGGACATCAACATCTGTCCAGGCTTCCTTTCCGGGTTGTAAAGAACTAAACAGATGAAATAATACATATGAAAACACTTTGTAAGCTGTCAGGCTGCCCTGCAAAGGAAGGTAATATTACCTTTTCATTGAATTATTCGTCCAATAGAGAGACCATTGGCGGATAGCATAGCCCTGTCTCCTGTTAATAAGTGCTGTTTCCAGAAAGGAGATAACAGTATTTCTTTCTTATTAGTAGTATTCTGAAGTCTCGGGAAGCTGGCCCGTTTAGATGTTCACGGCCCATGAGAAAGGCACATAAGAAGCCATGGCACTCCCTTTCCAGAAGGAGCTGGAGAAATACAAGAACATTGACGAAGATGAGCTTCTTGGCAAACTCTCAGAAGAGGAACTGAAACAGTTGGAAAATGTTCTTGATGACCTAGATCCCGAGGTTGGTGTCCTGGAAGTGAGCAGCTCGGTTAATAATGGTACGGGATAAATGACGTGGCTTGATCCTTAAACAGTAGTGTAGGAATCCCTTAGCTCCCAGTGCAATTTCTGGTTCTTCCCCTAATCGATTCTGGGTCTCTGAATTTTACAAATTCATGGAGAACCTCAGTAGCCACACCTATAAATATGATATGGCAAATGTATTTCCCAAATACTAGTTTAATGCAAATGGAGAAAAACATTTTCCGCTAGTTAGGGAAAGACTAGTCTCACATAGGGAAGAAGAAGGAAAGAGGAAAAGGGAACAAATCTTACCAAGCTTCTTCTGAGTCAAACGTCTACTGGGCACAGACGCCCTTGAGGTGAATTGTATTATCCCCACTTCATAAAGAAGGAGACAGACCAGGAGAAGTAATGTACATAAGACCCCATACTAGTAAATGTCAGAGATGATGTTTAAACCAGGTTGTTAACCCCAGAAGCAGATCTTTTTAATATCTTGTTTCTTTTTTTTTTTTTTTTTTTTTGAGGAAGATTAGCCCTGAGCTAACTGCTGCCAATCCTCCTCTTTTTGCTGAGGAAGACTGGCCCTGAGCTAACATCCATGCCCATCTTCCTCTACTTTATACATGGGATGCCTACCATAGCATGGCTTTTGCTGAGCGGTGCCATGTTCACACCCAGGATCCAAACCGGTGAACCCTGGGCCGCCGAGAAGCAGAACATGCGAACTTAACTGATGCGCCACCGGGCCAGCCCCTATATCTTGTTTCTTTAAAATTCATAAATAACTTGAAATTTTGGTGGTCCTACAGCAATGTATAGATTACAATAACTGTAATCATAATATCAAGGACATTTAAGTGGAGCTTTTATAAAAACTAAGTAGCTTGTTACAGTGTTTGTTTACCCAAGCACTTTCTTCAGCTCTGATGGTAGTGTCTTAAACTTAGAATCAGAGGCATCCAAAATACTGATTTTACGGTAAATAAAAATGTCTCTAAAAATTACTTATATTATATTCTGATATGCCAGATACTTTGGATATTGTATTTATTTTAGAAAATACAAGTATTCTGTTTTTAATCTTTTAAACTCAAGGAATCTATAAGCTTAATCAAGCAGGTATCAACATTTACCATAATAATCACTACCCTACTTGGATGCTTCCCCAGGAGAGGGATTAGAAATAAGAGAGTGTAGCCATGTTGGCTCCTTCTCAGAGTCTCCATAGAGTCTCCCAGCCTGGGAACCCCTTGGGTGCAGACCTGGCCAAACCTAAGTGTGACCTACGAGGAAAGAGACCGTCAAGGGTGGCTGGCCTGTTGCTGCCACATTTGAGAAGGCAGCTGCAGAAGACTGAGAGGCTCCTCCAGCCATCTGTGTTCTGCCTGAGCTCGTTGGGAGCCCTCTCTTCAGCAGAGGATGGTAGAGCAAGTAGGGCCTCAGAGACCCCAGCCTTCAACTCACACCCACATCTCTGCACAGGTATCTTTCTCCCTGCCTCCCCCGTATACAGCAGGGAGGGGAGGAGGCAGAGGGAGGGAGGTAACAGTATCAGTCGGGCAGACGCCTTCTTTCCTGCTCACACCCCTGTCTTGTCAGAGTGCGATGCTGCCAGCTGGATTCCGACAGAAAGACCAGACACAGAAAGCAGCCACTGGCCCATTTGACCGTGAGCACCTCCTCATGTACCTGGAGAAGGAGGCTTTGGAACAGAAAGACAGGGAAGACTTTGTGCCCTTCACTGGAGAAAAGAAAGGTAAGGACCACAGAGAGTAGGTCTTGCGACAGAGGTACTTGTACTGTAATGGAGGGTGGAGCAAGGGAAGTGACCTGGAAGTGGGAAATCAGCCCATGAACTGGATTTGCTGTTAAAAAGAATCATGGCTGGTGGATACATGTCAGTATACACTTGTCCAGACCCATAGAATGTACAGCACCAAGAGTGAACTCTAATGTTAAATATGGACTTGGGGCATGATATGAATGTACGTTCATCGATTGTAACAGATGTACCAGTGTGCTGCAGGGTGTCATTAGAGGGGGAGGTTGTAAGTGTAGGGGCAGGAGGTATATGGGAACTCTCTGTACTTTCCTCTGTGAACCTAAAACTGCTCTAAAAAATAAAGTTTATTAACTAAAAAACGCATCATGGCAGAATATGTAGGCTAATTAAATGAATACTTAGAGTGTAGTGAGATTGTATCTCTCTTGGATCCTGGCACAGGGAGGCACTCGATAAATACGCGTTTGAATGAATGTCATCTCTGAGCTTCTATATGTGGCCTTGGGGAGCAGGGTCCGCTCCTCAGCTGGCATGAGTCAGGGCGCTGCTGCCTTCTCTTATGCAACCTCCTGGCTCTCCTCTGAATCATGCACATTCAATGGATCGTGCACCACTGATAGTGTCATCTTATTAAGAAAGTAAAGTTGAACAGTGACAAGTTGGGCAAATAACCAAGGATTACCATAGAAATATGGAGCTGTTTCTATGGCGGCATAGTTGCTATTGGACTAATTTAGTTGTGAAAGAAAAAATAAATTATAATGTCAAATCTTCAATAAGATCCCAATTAGCATCCAGTATTAGAATAGTGACAGAATAATAAGAGGAAACCTGTTGTCTTCTGTTCTCAGAGTAGGGGTCTGAGGAGCCGCAATGGTAAATTAGCCCTGGATCTAGGTTAATCTGCAGATGGTTCACGGGGGAGTTAGGAATGCAGGAGCAGTCTGAGTAATAAATGAGGGATAGAAAAGAGGGGTGTGTACAGTTGCACAGTGCAGCTTCAGAGAAGGTTGAGAAGTAACACAGTTGAGCAAAATAAGCAGAGAGCAAGTTTTCCAAACAGAGCAGAGGGATTAGGGTGAGGAGTCTGTAGGGCCCCTGGAAGGACCAGCGGATGATCTCGGAGCAGTGGGAGGCTATCGTGAGGGCCTCGGGAGATGGGCCACACAACCTCAGTTCTGAATGCCGTGTGCCCTGGCCACTCAGTTCCTGGGCTATATTTGATTCTACGCTGCAGCTCTGCTCACTCAGAACTTGCTGTCTGGTTGGCCCGCAGGAACGGATGTGCAGCAGCAGTTGTCTTGAATGCTGTTTGCTGTGGGCCACCCGTGCACCCAGCGTTTAGAGTAATCCTAACAGTACCAGGAAGGAGGAACTTAGAAGCCTATTTTGACTCTGGACCCGAGATCATCTGAGCCAGAAAGAGAATGCTTCAGGCCACATACACTATGAAAATTAAGTCTGGAATGAACCCCAGTGTCTGAGATGTTATTGATTGGTTGATTTTTTTTTTTTCATTTTTCTGTTTTCTAGCCATTCTCCTGTTTGTTTCCCAGTGTATTTTCCTTCTTTCTGGGAAATGTGGCAGCTTATGTCATGTCAAGGCAGGAAGCAGGATGATGGTCAATGGTGGCGACTCTGTGGCCAGGATATCCAAGTCTGACCACAAGCAGTGGCACCTCTTGGGGTGCTCAGCTTTGCCTGGCCCATTTACTTGTACAGCCATTTGAAGATCTGGTAAACCATCAGGAAGCAGGCAGCCCCTGTAACCAGGACATCTCCTGGAGAGTTTTCATGAGAGAGAGTTACTGACTTTGGGTTTGAGTCTTCCTTTCCTATGGGAGTGAGGAAGGGCAAGCTAGCCAGGGAGACCTGGACAGAGTTTGGGTCCCCATTGGCTAAAGCTGGAGCCAGCTGTCTATTCTACCCAAGGTGACAAAGAGGAGAAGGCAATGGAGGGGTCTTTAGGGAACTCCAAAGGTAAAGATGGAGGAGATCAATTTCAAAGATCATGCCAAGAAGTAAGAACAGCTCCAAAAAAGTGAGAAACCAAGAGTCAAAAGCTGGGGGGAATTGGAAAAGTGTATGAGTAGGTCTGGAGTATTGCTACAGTGGCTCTGGAGTGTCCTGGGTTTACTTTTATCAGCCATTGCATGTATGGGATGTGCATGTGGTGGACTGGCTAGAAGTTAGGAGCAGGTAACATGCCTCGTGCCATCCTCCCAGCCATGTGACCATTGGTCCAGAAGTTTGGGCTAGAGAGGTAGGGCATGGATATCAACATATTCCGAAGTGAGTAGGGGGCAAAATAAATGAAATCTGAGTGAAAGGATGAAGTGGGAGATGGTGGCACAGAATGCATATGTGGGAAGTACAGAGTGCCTTGCGGCTCAAAGGCCCCCACAATCTCTATGACAACTCTGATTTTTCCTTTTAAATTAGCCTACTTTGGTATGCTTTAGAGAAGTGGCTTTGTCCCTACATCACTACCCTGGTCCAAGTGACCCTAGATATAGCATCTTAGTGATCTACAATCTCAGTTTAAGGGGAAAAGCTCTGGGGAATCACAGTTTGTCCCTCAGGAACCCCTGGAGCAGTGTGGATGAATCTGCTCCCAATATTTGCAAGATCCAAAGCAAGAACACAAATAGAAGCCCACATACCAATTTTTATAAATATTTGAAAGCTAACAAACTGTTAAACTATGTTCTATCCTCCTATGAATATACCTAGAAGGCCAGTATTCTTGGACTTCCAAAGTTCCAAGCAGGGACATGGGTCTGTCCTACACTCCTGGGGCACCCATGTTTGACATCCCAGTCTACATATCCAAGCTTCATCCCTATCCCCCACAGACAGCTTCCCCTTGGCCCTGGGGGTCCACACCCCAGCTGTGTGACCTGCCCCCAGGAGGATGGACATGGAGAAGGGACTCATGCAGGTCCTGGAAGCAGGCTCAGGGCTCTCTGGACAGGGAATTCCGGGGTCCCAGGTGCCTGGAGTGTGGTCTGGCAGGGGGCCTGTATTCTGGATGGGCATGTCCATTTGGCCCCATGATTCCCTCCTCAGGGGGTGCAGGGAGGCGTAGATTGCAGCAGGGGAGGGCAGGAGTCAGGCCCTTTAAAGTGTGGGGCCCATGGCAGGCCCCTCTTGTCCAGGTCTAAGGGCAGTGCTCCTCATGTCTGTGTTGCAGAATATAGGATTCCTCCTCTCACTTTCCTTCCCTCTAATAGTCTAATAGTGGATTATTGATGTTGGCATCATCCCAGCAATTAAGGAATCCCAATTGGATGTGCAATGGTGCAATGATTCGGCTCCTAATGGCCAGAGCTGCATCGTCCAGTCAGTCTACTCACCCTACAGTAAGGCAGCAGCACACAATGGTTTTGTTTGTCTTCTGATTTAAAGGGAGAGTCTTTATTCCCAAAGAAAAGCCCATAGAAACGCGTAAAGAAGAAAAAGTGACCCTTGACCCAGAACTGGAAGAAGCTTTGGCCAGCGCTTCTGACACTGAACTCTACGATCTTGCAGGTTAGTCCTTGGCTCTGGGAAACCATCCTGTCTTGCTCTGTGACCTCTAGACATGCACTGGCACCCATGGCAGCAGCCTTTGAGCTTCTCTGTGACTACTGATGATTATCATAATACCAAGTGGACTTCAGCCATTATGTAGCTGTAAGACTTGATGCAGATGACCTAGCCTCTGTATAAAATGTAAAACCACATCTCAGCTGTAAAATGCCCAAATAATACCCATCCTACAAAACTCAAGAGTTTGAGAAATCAAAGAGAATAAAGATAGAGTGTGGAGAATTTAAATAATAAAATAACAGCCCTTATGCTTTCTAAGGAGCTTTCACATTTAGCATTTTATCATCACAAAATTTCCATGACGTTCTCACTCTTTCCCACAGTCACTGTTCCATTTTGCTTCCCACTAAGAGGTCCATTAGCCTAACCAGGGAGTAGGAGTGATTCGGTGTTACATTCACCCTCTAAGGTAAATCTGTATGCAGCTCAATCTGCTCATTTTTTCCCCCAGTTTTATTAACAATATAATAATTATTATTATTTGAATTGGTTATACATGAAGAGAGAAAAAGCCCAAATAATTCAAAAGAATGTGTAATGAAAAATCTCTCACCCTAATTACCCAAGCCCCCCTCCCATTTCTTGTATAGCCTTCAAGAAAGATTCTGTGCATATACCAACATATTTGTGCATTAATGGGATGCATTTGTTTCCAAATGGGATGGAAATTTGGATTATTAGGATCATTGGCTCACTACAGGATAGAGGTGCTATGAAAGAGTCCACAGCTTTAGCAAGAAGTCTCACATTTTTATTCCATTGAAAGACATATGTAATAATAATCTCCTTCCTCCCAGGAGAGCCATCTATGCCTTATCCTAATAGCATGCCAACCATCTCAGCTACATTTTCATTCCTTCTGTGATGATAATATCAGTGGTCGAGATGAAGTTCACATATTTGAACCCCTCTCAGAAGTCACTGCAGGAGTTGAGGTACCTGCATCACACACAGGAAGGTGCTTTGAGGTGACCCATCTTCTTAGCCTTGTGGTTACTGTGGAGGGATCTGTTATGGTTACTGCTCCTCCCAAGGGTTGCCTTGTGATCACTACTGGAATTGCCCAAAGGGAGAATGTAGCTCTGGGCTTGAATTCCCAGGACATGACTAAGACAGGAGAAAGAGAAAATCACCAATCATTTGGAAGATAGTAGATCCTGAAATTCATACAGTAAAACCAGGAGGATAATCTCAATAGAAAACTGTCTTGTTCATCTCCTCCTTCGTCCTCCCTCCTTCATCCGGTGCTCCCTCAGAACTCAGGAGGAGGCCCAGCTGGGGGTGGCTGGCAGGATTTTCTCTAGGGTGGCTCTTTCCAGAAGATTAAGAGCAGCCCCATGAGTGGGTGGGCCAAGAGGCTTTGAGGTTTAGAAAAGAAAGAGTGTCAACGCCCTGCTCATGTTACTGGGAAGATTGAGAGCAGACAGACCGTCCAAGGGAGCAGCAGTTGACCCTTAAGACAGCACCTCCCAGAGTGGCCATCTCTCAGTATGGTCACCACCTAGAGTCTAGTTCTCGGCTCTGCTGGTCTAGAGATTTGATCTTGTCAGTGCACATAGGAAGCAGTCAGACTGGGGCCGCATGGTCAGATTCAAAGGAAACAGATAAAACAAAAATTAAAACTTGGCAATGGAACCAAATTATAATTAGAAGTTGCTTAGTGAGTCTGGGGCCAAAGCAAGATATATTTGTTGGATGGTCTCAGTGGCCTGTGGTCCTGAAACAGGGTATCTTCTCCCTAGACAATACCAAAAACACAGTGACAAATTCTTATTTATCTAACAAGCACTTAGAATTGTGCCTGACACGTAGGAAGTTATTTAGTCTTTGTAATAGATAAAGGATAATTATCCTTATTTTACAGATGGATAAACTGAGGCTTAGAGGCATTTAGTAACTTCTCAAGTCACACAGGTGGTACGTGATGGTCAGGATTCAAACTCTGGCTGACTGCTCCTGAGTGCCACTCTTAACCCCTAGACTTGCTGGCCCTAGACATTTGCCCTTTCTTGTGCTGGCTGGCTGCCTCCCTCCTTCTAAAATGTACATTACAGGACAGCTGATAAGGAGCTCAGAGGTACTCCTCTGCCACCTATTGACAGGTTATCTGTTCTGGGATCCTTCTCCAGGTGGCCACCTATAATTTCATTAGCAAAGGAAAAGCTGGGTGAGCAAGTGCAATTTTAGCCTGCCCAGTGTTTGTTCTGTCCCGGTGCTGTTTCGTGCATACTATGCTGCCTCCTGGTGCAAGTTCCATGTAATACAGGAGACTCAAAATCTTAGCCTGCTTTTCTGACCTTTTATTGCTGACATCTCTTCTTTTATTTCCCACCCTGGGATGCTCTAGATGGGGAAAGGACAGTCCTTTGGGGACTGAGAGGTGGGAGAGGCCTCTTACACTGAAAGAGGCCCGTGATCTTTCTGCTCTGTGCCTCTGGAAAAATCCATGCCATAATCTATATAATGTTAGATCTTAAAATACCCTTAGACTTGGTCCTACCCTCACACTTTACACATGAGAAAACTGAAGGGTTGTAGCTACCTAACTAGGGGGTCTAAGCAGATTTTCAGTAATTTGAGGATGTAACTAGACCGTTAGCCAGCCCTGGTGGTCTAGTGGTTAAGATTTGGAGCTCTCACCACTGTGGCTTGGGTTGTTTCCCAGTCAGGGAACCACACCCACCCATGTGTCGGTTGTCATACTGGGGCAGCTGTGTGTTGCTGTGATGCTATGCAAGCTGTGCCACTAGTATTTCATATACGAGCAGAGTCCCATGGTGGACAGGTTTCAGCAGAGCTTCCAGACTAGGATGGACTTGGCCACTCACTTCCAAAAAGATTGGCCATGGAAACCCTATGAATAGCAGGAGAGCATCGTCTGATAGAGCGCAGGAAGGTGAGAGGTTGGTGCATAAAGACTGGGCAGGGTTCCACTCTGCTGTACACGGGTCAGTAGAAGTTGGAATCCACTTGATGACGCTAACAACCTAGAGCATTGTCACTTAGAGCCTAAATGATTCCACATGTAAGGATGTAGAAAGACATGTGACGATTGCTAGTGGTCTTGGAAGGTGGAGCTTTTTACTAAGTCTATTTAACACTGTACATGTACCACACACTGTGAAAGGCAAGGGGGGTCTGGAGACTTATCTTTATGATATGAAGAATTGTTCTTTGAGGGGCAAATCAACAACATGGACCTCCTAACATGCTCTCCCAAACTTCATGTTCATTCACTGATTTTCTTTGCTTTCAGCTGTTCTTGGAGTACACAATTTGCTCAACAATCCAAAGTTTGATGAAGAAACGGCCAACAGTAAAGGTGGCAAAGGGCCTGTGAGAAGTAAGTTGACGTGGAATCTGTAGTTCTGTGAAACTTAGGAGCCTCCAGGTTTTGCTGGTAGGAGAGAGGCCTGTTGACTGTGCCTCCTGGTGAATCCAGACTGTCTTGCAGGCTTCGAAGATGGGTTTTATCAGTTCACCAAGGATCACTGGGATGTGAGCAATCAAACCAGAGTAGAGTAGCTGAGTGGGAGCCCTGCCTGGCAATGTAACTAGTACCAATCAGTGTGTTTTGCCCAGAAGACACTCTCTTGGTAGTTCTGTTCAGTCAAAAGATAAAATTTCTGATTAAAAGGTTGCATAGTCAGCACAGAACGCAAACAGAGATTCATGTTCCTAACAGTGTTTTAATCAATATTGTATCTTAGATAAGTTCCATTCTCTATTTGACTATCTTTTTGTCTCCATAATGGATGCTTATCTTTAGGATTTGAATCCCCATTTCCTCTAGAGGGCACAAAAGACACACTGGCATGGACTTGCTGGCACAGAAAGTTCCAGATTACTATCTTCTTTGTCAACATTTCCTGGAGAAGTGTACAGTTCATTAGACTCTCTCAGTCATTCATCATCATCTACTAAATACCTACTATGTGTCAAGAATATTCTAGGCTTAGGTACAAAGATAAAAGATGATCCCTGCCCAAAGGAACTTATTTATCCGTGATAGGGATGGACTAATAATCAGGTAATTTCGGTACAGTGTAATCCAGATCACAACTTTTCTAAGGTTAATTATGTTTTATTCTCTTTGACGGAGATTTTGGAGATGCTTTCTAGTCTCAGCAACGTATTTATAAACCATCATTTATACTGGGTAATTTACCCAGACAATAAGCAACATTCCTTTTATTTTCTTTCTGGTTGCTTATGTGTGCAGATGAAAAATGTTCATTCTTTTTAACTTTAGTATCAAAGGGTAACATTCTGACAACATGTTTGCTATTAAAAGTCTGGTGCATAACTTTCTAGGCTTTTATACATACACATACATATCATTAACTTTTTTTTCAGGCCTTGGTTTTTTAGAGCAGTTTTAGGTTCACAGCAAAATTGAGAGGAAGGCACAGAGATATCCCATATACCTCCTGCCCCTCCCCAGGATAGCCTCCCCCATTATCAACATCTTACAGCAGAGTGATATGTATGTTAGAATAGATGAACCTACATTGACACATTATTATCATCCTAAGTACATAGTTTACATTAGGGTTCATTCTTGGTGTTGCACATTCTATGGGTTTGGACAAACGTATAATGACGTGTATCCACCATTATAGTATCATGCAGAGTAGTTTCACTGCCCTAAAATTCCTCTGCGCTCTGCCTCTTCATCTCCCTTTCCCCCTCTAACTACTAATCTTTTTACTATCTCCATAGTTTTGGCTTTTCCGGAATGTCTTATATTGGAATCATATAGTATATAGCCTATTCAGACTGGCTTCTTTCACTTAGTAATATGCATTTAAGTTTCCTCTATGTCTTTTCATGGCTTGATAGCTCATTTCTTTTTAGTGCTGAATAATATTCCATTAACTGGATCTACCACAGTTTATTTTATCCCTTCACCTACTAAAGGACATCTTGGTTGCTTCCAAGTTTTGGCAGTTATGAACAAAGCTGCTATAAACATAATATGCAGATTTTTGTGTGGACATAGGTTTTCAACTCCTTTGAGTAAATACCAAGGAATGTGACTACTGATCATATGGTAAGAGTATGTTTAGATTTGTAAGAAATTGCCAAACTGTCTTCCAAAGTGGCTGTACCATCTTGCATTCCCACTAGCATGTTCTTCCACATCCTTTGCCAGCATTTGCTTTTGTCAGTGTTCCAGATTTTGGTCAATCTAATAGGTGTATAGTGGTATCTCATTGTTTTAATTTGCATTTCCATGATGACATATGATGTGGATCATCTTTTCATGTTTATTTGCCATCTGTATATCTTCTTTGGTGAAGTGTTTAAGGTCTTTGACCCATTTTTTTTAATCAGGTTGTTTTCTTATTGTTGCGTTTTAAGAGTTCTTTGTATATTTTGGATAACAATCCTTTATCAGATGTGTCTTTTACAAGTATTTTCTCCCAATCTGTGGCTCATTTCCCCATTCTCTGGCCAGTATCTTTCACAGAGTAGAAACTTATAATTTTAATGAAGTCCAGCCTATCAGTTCTTTCTTTCATGGATCACACTTTTGGTGTTATATCTAAAAATTCATCACCTAACCCAAGGACACCTACATTTTCTCCTCTGTTCTCTTCCAGGAGTTTTACAGTTTTACATTTTACATTTAGGTCTGTGATCCATTTTGAGTTAATTTTTGTAAAGGTGTAAGGTCTGTGTCTAAATTCGTTTTTTTGCTTGTGGATGTCTAGTTGTTCCAGCACTGTTTGTTGAAAAGACTATCTTCAGTGTATTGCCCTTGCTCATTTGTCAAGGGTCAGTTGACTGTATTTGTGTGGATCTATTTCTGGGCTCTCTATTCTGTTCCATTGATTTATTCGTATACTCTTCCACCAATACCATGCTATCTTGATTACTGTAGCTTTATAGTAAATCTTGAAGTCAGATAGTGTCAATTCTCCAACTTTGTTCTTCTCTTTCAATATTTTGTTAGCTATTCTGGGTATTTTGCCTCTTGATATAAACTTTACAATCAGTTTGTTGGTATCTACAAAAAACTTTCTGGGATGTTTCTTTTAAGTTTTTTTTTTTAATTCTTCTGTATTTTTTATTATTGTTATTATTTTTTTTTTGAGGAAGATTAGCCCTTGAGCTAACTGCTGCCAATCCTCCTCTTTTCACTGAGGAAGACTGGCCCTGAGCTAACATCCATACCCATCTTCCTCTACTTTATATGTGGGATGCCTACCACAGCATGGTGTGCCAAGTTGTGCCATGTTCCCACCCGGGATCTGAACTGGCGAACCCCAGGCTGCCAAAGGGGAATGTGCGCACTTAACCGCTGCACCACCGGGCTGGCCCCTCATTTTTTATCTTAGAGTTTAATTACTCTACACTTTTTAGTTGAGTGACAGAAATTCTTCCAATCATATAACTTGTTCATTTTTAATTGGGTTGTCTTATTGATTTGTAGGAGCTCTGTGTATATTGAGATATTAACTCTTTATATGTAATATATGTTGCAAACATTTTCTGTTAAGTCCTTTTGAGAATCCTTCCATTCTTCTTTTCCATTCCTTTCTCTTCACATACCTTCCTCCAAACTAAAGCTCCAAAATGGAAATCAGAGGAGAGTGGCATATGGTCAAGAAGCCAGAGGAGTATTAGGGTTTGGAAAACTAAGAGGCTCATCATTTCTTTTTGGCATCTCACATCCTGTGGTTTGGTTATTATAGTCTGTAAGAGGTCCATAGGGAGCAGCAATACCTGCCCATAGATGTTCTTTTCAGGGTTTGATTTTGCTGTAGGGCCTCCTCCATACAGTCTCAGCCACTGAGACTTCCCACTGCGGTTGAGAAACATCAACCTTTAAAACTGTAATTCAGAGCCATACCATTCCCGTGATTGCTTAGTTGAGAAGTTTACTGTCGTTGATATCAGAGTATTATTGGAATCAGAGCATATCACTTTGGAGGAAATCATCTCTGATTTTGACAGGAGAGCCCTTACATTTTCTTTTTAAAATTAAAACTTGTGTCTCAGATGTGGTCAAAGGTGAAAAGGTCAAGCCTGTATTTGAGGAACCACCCAACCCCACAAATGTGGAAGTAAGTCTGCAGCAGATGAAAGCCAATGATCCCAGCCTACAAGAAGTCAACCTCAACAACATTAAGGTATTTCATTATGATTGTTGTCAGTCACTTGATTTAGCATGAGTTCAGAAAACTTAACGGAGATGATTGATTACCTGCTTTCACACCTGTTTACAATCCTTTGCATCACTGATTTTGAGGCGAGATATCCTACTCAAAAGAAAAAGTGGGTTTGGGCTGGCCCAGTGGCATAGCAGTTGGGTTCACATGCTCCACTTTGGTGGCCCAGGGTCTGCAGGTTCAGATCCAAGGCATGGACCTGCACACCACTCATCAAGCCATCCTGTGGTGGCATCCCACATACAGAATAGAGGAAGATTGGCATGAATGTTAGTTCAGGGCCAATCTTCCTCACCAAAAATAAGGAAGAAAGAAAAAGAAAAAGTAGATTTAGGGGCTGGCCTGGCGGCACAGCAGTTAAGTTCGCACATTCCACTTCAGCAGCCCGTGGTTCACCTGTTCGGATCCCGGGTGCAGACATGGCACCACTTGGCAAGCCATGCTGTGGTAGGTGTCCCACATATAAAGTGGAGGAAGATGGGCATGGATGTTAGCTCAGTGCCAGTCTTCCTCAGCAAAAAGAGGATTGGCAGTAGATGTTAGCTCAGGGCTAATCTTCCTCAAAAAAAGAAAAAAGAAAAAGTAGGTTTAAAAACAGAGTGATTTTTAGAATTCTTTGAAAAGAATCACAGCACTTGTGTTAAACATAGTGTATTAGTTATCTATTGGTATATTATTGATATCTATAGATATTGATATCTATCTATCAAATGACTCCAAAACTTAGGGACTTAAAAACAAGAAACGTTTGTTATTTGTCACAGTTTCTGTGTGTCAGGAATTGGGAAGGGACTTAGCTGGGTAGTTGTGGCTGTCTGTCAGATGAGGCTGTAGTAAAGCTGTCAGCCAGAGCTGCAGTCATCTGAAAGCTTGAGTGGGGCAGGAGGATCCACTTCCAAGACAGCACATCATGTGGCTGTTGGCAGGAAGCCTCGATTTCTCACCACATGGGCCTCTCCAGAGGGCTGCCTGAGTGTCCTCACATCACCAGAGCTGGCTTCCCCCAGAGCGAGTGATTGAAGAGAAAAAGAGAGCAAGCAGAAACCCACAATGCCTTTTATGACCTATTCTCTGAAGTCACACATTGTCACTTCCACTTTATTCTATTTGGCAGTAAGTCATATCACTCTCAAAGGGACAGGAAATAAGTGTGTGTGTGTGTGTGTGAGAGAGAGAGAGAGAGAAGACACATTGCCTGACATCTATTTTGTTCATTCTTGTTGGAACAATTTCTAGCATTTAATAATAATAACTGACTTTTATTGAGTACTCGCTACATCTTTTGTTAAGTACTTGATATTCATTCTCTCATTTAAGCCTTAGTGGAACTTAAAGAGGTTAAGTTGTCTGTGGTCACAGAGCTAGTCTGTAGCACATCTAGGACCCACATCAATCTCTAGCTGTACCCCATATCGTCTCCCTCCCGAGTGGTCAGTACTGTGCTAAGTGCTGTAGAAGAGGGAGTAAGATTCATTTGGTCTTTATTCTAAAGAACTCGTATTAGGAGAAAAACACTAAACAAATAATTATAACATCATTTGGTAAACCCCCAAAAGTCATGGAATTGTGAGTAAGGAAAATTTTGATCCTGCCTAGGAGAACCAGTAAACAAAGGAGGTGATATTTCAGCTGGGTCTTAAAAGATAAGTAGGAATTAGAGAAAAGTACAAAGGAATTTCCAGGCAAGGGGAAAAGTGTATCTCAAGGTATGGAGGAGAGAAAGACCACGGTGTAGTAAAGGAATAGTGGGTAGGTTAGTCTGGCTACGATAAAGAGAATGCTGGAGAACAAGAGGGAAGTAGGGTATGTGCATAATTTCTTGGTCAGGGTGAATAGAAAGGTGAGGCCAGAATGTCACATTGTGTTAGACTCCTTCACTGGACACTAAGTGGTGCTATTGGCTAGGGTGGCATGGTTGCTGGAGGATGGGTGCTGAATGTCTCTTAGAGGGGATGTCATATCATTAGCCATCTAAACAGATAAAGTATTTCAAAGCTGTGGGTCTTCAGCCTGGGGTGGGGGCACTGCAGAATGCTTCGTCAACTCTCTGTGTCTTCCTGGTCTTAGAGCATTCCAATTCCGACCCTGAAGGAGTTTGCGAAGGCTCTGGAAACCAACACTCACGTAAAGAAGTTCAGCCTGGCTGCAACCCGCAGCAACGACCCTGTGGCCGTCGTGAGTAAAATTCTTAGAAATATAGCATGAAAATATTTAATGCATTAGCATCTATTCCTAATTTGTTTTATCAATTAATAATTTTTAGATCTGGTAAATTCGTTTTCTACACAGTTAATCAACAAAATTAGTTATAATGGGTCAGTGGAACAGAACCCAACTGCCAAGCACTTTGAATTAACTGGAATTTTGTTAGCTCTACACTTTTAGGAGAAAGAAACAATATTAGATTAGGCATTTAGCTAAATAAATATTTAGATTTTGTTCTGCGCTTAGTACAAGTTTCCTAAAACTTTTGCATCTACCGTAACATTCTGTCACAATGTGTTTTATAAAACCCCCAAATCCTACAGAAACTCAGCACATATAAAAATATTAAAGCATATTTCATTTTAATCTTTGAAATGGATTAACGTTTCAAAATATTTTAATGACCAAATCTTGAAACATTTTTTGTTTGACACTGTTAACCAGAATATGAAAAAAATAACCAACCCAAAGCTCTGTTCCTTCTATGCCTTTTAGATAATTCAGCTAAATAAGGAAGCCCATTGACCCATTAATACTACTACCGTCACCAGCATCAGTGTCAGTGTTACTCCTCCTATTAATAGCTAACATTTCTTGAGCAGTTAGTAAATGCCGTCACTGATCCCTGTGCTTTACACACCTCATCTCACCTAATCCTCACTATAATACTATGAGGCGTGTACTATTACTGGTTCCCACTTTAACAAATTAGCATTCTGTGGCTCAGAGAGGTTAATTAACTTTTCCAAGGTAAGCAGCAGAGCCAGGATTCACCACCAGGTCTTTCTGATTCCAGGTATGCTATATTTGCACACAGTGACTCACTGTCATACATTTGCTAAAATATGTCAGTTATCAGGAGCCTGAGCATCAACCTGTTGTTCTGCAGCATCTCATGCTCAGCCCTTGAGTCAAGCTAGCAAAACAAAAGTTTTCTTGACTTGATGATATGATTTAAAGTAAGATGTCTTTGGAAGATCTAATATACCATTAAAAACAGACAACATGATGGGGCTGGCCTGGTGGCCCAGCAGTTAAGTTCGCATGTTCCTCTTCGGCGGCCTGGGGTTCGCCAGTTTGGATCCCACGTGTAGACCTACGTACCACTTATGTGGTAGGCGTCCCACGTATAAAGGAGAGGAAGATGGGCATGGATGTTAGCTCAAGGCCAGTCTTCCTCAGCAAAAAGAGGAGGATTGGTGGCAGATGTTAGCTCAGGGCTAATCTTCCTCAAAAAATAAAAACAAAACAAAAAAACAGACAACATGAAGATCATGACTAACTATTACAGTGCTGGCACAGAGATGTTTGAAGAATACTTGTTGAATGAATGAATGTGCCCTCCAGCCTCTCAGCAATAGAGAGTATTTCCATGATGACAATAGTAAATTTGAAATAAGCACTCATGTAAAACAGGGACTAAGCTACAAAATTGATGTTTTCACCAACAATTATTACATATCTAAATTTGTAGGTTGAAAGCAGTTTTGAATTTGAAACCTATCATTAAAATAGAGAAAGAGCAGGACCAGATCATTGGTAATGTGAAATTAGCAATTTAAACATTCTTATCTGTATGTATATGATTTTTTATAATCCCTGCCTTTTAGTAGATTTGTTTTCAATAAAGCAAAAATATTCACAATACCTTTTGTATATAAGTGACTAAAGGGATGGCTAAAGAAATGATTTGTCACTCCTATTTAATATGTTATTTACAGTAAAATGGCAGGAATAGGAATTGTCCATTATTGATACTACTAGTAAATAATCTACGGTCTACTCTAGGTCAAATAGATAACTTGCTAAGTGAATTAAATAAATTCCAAATATAATAATCTCTTTGATACTGTTTTTAATGTGACTGTGTTTTTAATTTACTGTGTGCTGAATGCATAACATGTGACAAGCACACCATGCCATACTATCCTTAAGGATGTGAAGAGAAAAGTTTCTTTTGGCCTCATGCCTACATGGTCCAGCGCTCACCTAGCTGCCCCCAGATGGTTCCCCTTTCACTATGCCATTGTCAGGAAAGAACCTTTCTGTAGGTTGAAAATGGGTTCATTACCCCTCACATAATAGAGATCTTCAGTCTGTATTTATGGCTGAATGACTCACTTTTGCAAAGTAAATATCAGCATTAAAGCAAAGAGCTTCAAAACTCTTCTATTTAAGGTTCCGAAACAGATTCAACTAGCCTGCTTGTGGGATATGGTAAATGTGGACAAGCTATATGTATGTGAGATGGCATTATTCCCATTTTACAGATGAGGCAACTGAGGCTCAGAGAGGTAACTTAACTAAGATTACAGTACAGCATGTAGCCTAGCCAGGAAGCAAATTGAAATGACCTGTAATCAAGTTGAGTTCATCATGTCCCAAGCACTTCCATATAACCACATCTATGGCAGTGACTATTAATGGCACTTACCCCCACTGAATGCCAATGTAGAAAAAAGGCCCAAATATGTAAAAAAAAAATGCTATCGTTATTAGCAGTCATGCCACATAAAAGTCAAGAGTTTAGGACAGCAGTGTCCAATAGAAATAAAATGAGAGTCACAAATGTAAGCCACGTGTATAATTTTTTAAATTATTATTATTTTTTTTTTTTGAGGAAGATTAGCCCTGGGCTAACTGCTGCCAATCCTCATTTTTTGCTGAGGAAGACTGGCCCTGACCTGACATCCATGCCCATCTTCCTCTGCTTTATACGTGGGATGCCTACCACAGCATGGCATGGCATGCCATGTCCACACCCAGGATCCAAACCAGCAAACCCCACGCCACCGAAGCAGAACATGCAAATTTAACTGCTGCGCCACTGGGCTGGCCCAAGCCACATGTATAATTTTAAATTTTCTAATAGCTGCGTTAAAAAACAAAAAGAAATAGGTGAAATTAAGTTGAATACTTTATTTAAACCAATACATCCAAAATATTATCATTTCAAAATGTAATTTGAAAGTGTCATGAGGTATTTTCATTATCTTTTTTTGAACTACGTCTTTGAAATCCCGTGTGCATGTTACATTTCCAGCACGTCTCAATTCAGACTGGCCATTTTTCAAGGGCTCAATAGCCGCATGTCTCTTGTGACTACCATTCCAATAGCACAGGTCTAGACACTGCAGGAAACTGCACTTCCATACAATACTGTAAAGTACAGAAAGCAAAACCTTCTCTTTAAAAATGTATTTCTACTCTGATTATTTATATAACAGTTAAGAAATCTAGTCTTTGTTTTACTAGTGTTGTTATCCCCTGCACATGTAATAGATGCTTAAATATTTGCTGAACTGAAATGAACTTGGGCCGACAGCCCAGGGTTATGTTTGGCTGGGTCTCCCCTGTTTTGTTCAGTATGAGAAAAGTGTTTTCTCAAGTTTAAAAGAAATTGGCAAGGTCCTGGCTACTTGCCAGGAGGTCCTGCAATTTTTTTATAAAGGCCTAATTGCTCTGACATTTTGCTATTCTAATAATGAAAGTAAGTCGCGAAGCTTGAAACGTCCGTAAGGAAAGGCCCGATGCATCCCCTTCTGGTGCTCTAATTAAAATGTGTACATTTAATTCTAATTAAAGACCTAGCACTGAAGAAATGCACTGTAATTTACATGGTGTACAATAATGTCAGTCCAAATCTTTGAGCTTTCTGTGTAGTTCAAGCAACTGCTTGACTAATACACAGGATTATTCTAGTCCAGTGGTTCTCAACTCAGGGGAGAGTTTGCCCTCCAGGGGACATTTGGCAGTGTCTGGAGATGTTTTTGGTTGTCATGACTGAGAGGGGTACTACTGGCATTTAGTGGGGCTCACAGGCTGCTAAACCTTCTACAACACACAGGGCAACCTCCCACAGCAGAGAATGCTCCGGCCTCAAATGGCGCTAAGGTTGCAAAGCCCTGTTCTTGTTCCCAGTTGGATTCCTTCTCCTCTTCCTTCTTCTTTCCTTCCTCCTTATTGTGTTTCCACCACAAACACAATGGAAATAGTTTAGAAGTTCCTCATTCTCTTGCCCAGAGCAATCACTATTGGCGGTTTGTTATTCATTCTTTTGGGTGTTGTCTTTCTGACTTTAATTAAAGTGGCTGTCAATCCTGGCTGAACATTAGTCACCTAGAGAGCTTTTCAAAAATGCAGCTGTCCAGGCCACAGCCCGAGATTCTGATTTAACTCACCTTGGGTGGGGCCCAACCATTAGTATATTTGTGAAGGCTCCCAGGTCATTCTAATATGTAACCAGGGTAGAAAAACACTAATATGCACGCAATTTAATTTTTAATTTAGTGTCTTAGATAGTTTTTGATTCTCCATTAGAAAAGATAAGCGCAGTTCTGTGCTCACGCTACTTTCTATCTGTCCTTCTCCTACCCCCAAGTTGTAGTTATTTTGTGATTTTCACACATTTGAGAGTTATACATTTTATGTCATTATATTCTATGTTATGTATATAGATTGAGTTCAAAAAATTAAAACTTAGCACCAGCATTTACAATTATCTGGCTCTATGAGTACATAAATCTCTCTCCTCAGGGACTTTAAGGTCTAGTGACTAATGCTGGTCGGATTCTTGTTCCCTTGTAAGTAACTTATTTTTTCTTGCCAGAAACTTTTAGGACCCTCTCTTTTCCCTTGGAGTTGTAAAATTTCACTTGTGTGTGCCCACTTATGAGTCTTTTTTATTCATTCCACTGAGCATCCAGTAGATTCTTTCAGATAAAGACTTGCAGCTTTCTTTAACTCGGGGAAATTTTTCCCTATTATTTTATAGTTTCTTCCTTTCTGTTGTCTTTTTGTTGTTGTCCCCCAGAAACTCTCTTAGATGAATGTTGAACTTCTGTATCTTTCCTCCATATTTCTTAACATTTCTCTCATATTTTTATCTCATTGACGCTTAACTCTACATTCTTGGAAATATGCTCAGGTTTCTCTTCTAACTCACCAACTTGGTCTTCAGCCATGCTCATTTTAGAATTCTGGGTGTCCGTCACTTTTTTTTATTTCACTGTAATGTTTTAAATGTTCAAAACGTTTTCTATTTTTAGTTTTTTGGTGTGGGAGATTCTCCCTGAGCTAACATCTATTGCCAAGCTTCCTCTTTTTGCTTGAGGAAGATTGTCGTAAACTAACGTCTGTGCCAATCTTCCTCTATTTTATGTGGCATGCTGCTGCGGCATGGCTTGATGAGCGGTGTGTAGGCCCTCGCCCGAGATCCGAACCTGCAAACCCTGGGCCGACGAAGTGGGGTGTGCAAACTTAACCACTACGCCACCGGGCCAGCCCCTCAAAATGTTTTCCCGTTCTTATTCTTTTTTTTGTTCATAATAGTACTTATTTTATGAATACAATGTCTTTTATTTCTTTTTCCATCTTTTTTTGGAGGGGGGAGGGTGGGAAGGAGAATTACAGGTAGAATTTTTCCATTTGTTTCTGTTCCCTCTATGGCATGTAGTTCTGTTTGGTCCACTCAGCTTTTGTCTGTCATGATACCAGTTTTCCTAGATGTCTGGCCATCACTGGTTGCCCGTTCCTATTTCTGACTAGAGAACAAGGTTGGTTTGTGTAAACCAGGATCATTTCCTCTGCAGTTCTGTAGGTCTGTTTCTCCAACAGTCCTCTCCCTCAAAAGGGAGGCCCCTTTATGTTTCTCCATTTGTCCCCATCTGACAGGCCATATATTTTATTTATTAACTACTGACTCTGCCCTCCTGTTCAAATATAATCTCCCTAGGACAGGAAATTCTGTTTTCTCTGCTGCTGGCACACAGTAGAAGCCCAATAATTAGTCTTTTTTGAATGAGTGAATAAATGAAAGAATGAGGGCTTTTGTAAGCAGGCACGTGAGTTGACCTGCAGCCTTCCCAGTAGCATGTGTGTGAGGAGCTGGCCGGCAGCCTGGGAGTCCCGGCGATGCTCCTGTTAGGAAGGCTTTCCTCTGCGGGGAACATTTCAGCAGATTTCATTCCTGGGCGTGAGATTTCATTCCTGGGCGTGGCTGCCTCTCCTCTCCTTTCTTGCTCACTGTATCTGGTGGATGGTCCAGAGGTGCCTCCGTTTCTGCACTGCTTCTCTCTCAGGTCCTAGCATCCTCGCAAGAGGCTCCTCCTGGGAGATCTTCCATTGATCATTGTGCCCGCAGTTGCTGTTTTCTGAGGAAGCCGCAGGGCGGGGCGGGGTGCTCTCCATCTGCTCTAGCTCTTCCATCTGTTCCTCAGGCCGTTCTTTAATGAAATGCCTCAGTTGGGACTTACCTTTGGCATCTCAGGCAACTTTGTGCTAATTTCTCCACCAATCTTTCTATTTTCTGCACTTTAGCAATTCTTCAGGATAATGGCCCTCCTTTTCTGTTTCCTTGCACTCTGAGAGTTCCAGTCACTTAAAAATTCTATCTTTTCTTCATGAAGTGGGAAACTCGGGGAGCAAGGGGAGCGGGCCGGTACCTGCGTGCAGTCTGCGATCTTGAACTGGGAGTCTGCAGTGGGTTTGCCACTCTGAGTGCGTGATGTTCCAAAGGTGTCTTTGAGGAATTCTGATTTATAAATGACCTGAAATTATATGACTAGATCAGTAATGCCCAATGCTCATCACTGGTAGTTTTTTTATCCATTCATAGTAAAAGGGACAAAATAAAATAATTCTGAGATTATGTCCTTTCTACATTTTTCCTAATGTTAAGATGCCTTTTCTCAAAAAAAAAAAAAAAATTGACAGTGATAACAGATGATAGTGGGGTTTGTTTAAATGTCCTTATGTAACAAAACAAAGTTGGTCATCCTATGTCAGGATCTTTTTTTTTTTTTTTCAGTTTTGCAGGTATGTCAGTTCTTAAGTCTAGGCTGCTGGACTAAACTATTTTTATTGCAGTTTTAAATTATTATCTTTGTTACTTGGAGGTGAAAGTGTGATTCAACTAAGGTTTTCTTAAGTACTGTAAAAGATATCTAATTAATTTGGTTGTAGGGAGTTCAGTAAATAAAGCTTTAGAAACCCTAATGGTTCTTTCTTTTTTTTGCATAATAAGGCTTTTGCAGATATGTTGAAAGTAAACAAGACCTTGAAAAGTCTAAACATAGAATCCAATTTTATCACTGGAACGGGGATCCTGGCCCTGGTAGAGGCACTGAGAGAAAATGACACCTTGACAGAGATCAAGATCGACAACCAGGTGAGCTGACTTACAGGGTACATGTGAAAGCGGGGATGCCGCAATGGAGTGAGTTAAAAGACAATGTTCTATGATTCGATTTGATGCTCTGGCTTTCCTGTATATTATACCAGCTTCTGGCCTGTGGAGGCTGTGGGGAGAGCATGTTAATAATTACACAGTGCACAGTGGGGCAGCCTGAGACAGAGAAAGCCAGCGTTCCACAGCCCTGGGCTAGTCAGGCACCAGAGGAGAAGGAGAGAAGGTGGGGCCAGAGGGGTTGACAGGTGCGTTGTTCAGCCATCATCACTGTTGCCTCTTAGCAGGAATCTCAGCACAGTCCTGTCCCAGCCTTGCTGTGGCCTCTCATTGGGACTGTGGCTACAAGGAGAAAGCACGGTGGCCATGCCCAGAGACAGATTCCTTGTCTGTGTGCAGGCTGCCAGAGCCTAAAGAAAGAGCCTAAAGAAAGAGCAGGCCCAGGCTCCTGCAGTCTGATGCTGGCCACATGGTGTATTTCAAAGAATCCAGTTCTAGAAGATGGTCTGGCTTAGAGTAGCAGGCCACATCCACAGTACCATCACAACCTCAGCTCTGTTGCTGCGTTTCTCTGGTTCCCATCAATGGCCAAAGCAAGCTGCTTTTCCCTGGAGCCGCTACCTCCTGTACTTCTTTTTCCCAGCATCAGCCTGCAGTACCTTTGGAATTGCTCTGCTGGCTTTAGCTGGCTCCTGCCCACAGACAGCAAGTCTCAGTTCTCAGCATCATGCTGTGCCCTGCCCCTTTGACTACAGGGAATTGTCTGCAGTGGGAGTCAGTGAATCTGAGGGGTCTAGACACTGTATAGTAGGAAGAAAGGGCTCTAAAATGCAGCAGAAAGGGGAGAGAGCGAGGAGACATGTGCTGTGAGCATTCCCCTGTGGGCTGGTGACAGCGACAGTGGGGGAAGTGCCTGTTGAGAGTGCCCCCTGCATGTCTGGGAAATTCCTTGGTCTAGACCCTCCAAGATCTAATAAAGCCCCAGACTCCCACCCTGGACTTTTGCCTAAGCTTGGAGACCCCCCCAGCAGGTCCCATGAACAGCTCTACTCTCAATTTTTCTAACCAGGAGTAGCAAGTTTTCAGTGCAGGTCCTCTGTTCCTGGACTCCTTCCGAGGCTTGTGGCCAGGGGAACAGGGGGCCCCGGTGAGGAGACAGACGCTCCTTCACACACCCTCCCTAGAAGGGAGGCCTCACCAGGACCATACTCACTCAGGGGAAGCTTGATGCTGTGTACCCTGGTATGAGTCCAGCTGCTAGTAAACTAAGAAAGAGTCATCAAGGAGTGGGAGAGTAGAAAAATAAGCTAGGGAGAAATATGAACTGAGTGACTAGAGGTGATAACTCAGGGCTATTTATTGAATGGACTAGTTTCAGGAAGAAGTTGAGGGCCCCTAGTTAATATTTCCAGGAGATCTAAGACAGAAGTAGGTACCTTATTCCAAAATATATTTATCTTTTTGTGTTGGTTTAGGCCATAGTGAAACCCCATATCTGAAATAATATTCCAGACACTCTGTTCCTAGGTCCTTGTAAGATACCACCTAGTTAGAGTTGCCAAATAAAATACAATTAAACTTGAATTTCAGATAAACAATGAATAATTTTTTAGTATAAGTATGTCCCATGAAATATTTGGGACATACTTATACTAAAAAATTATTTATTTGTTGAAATTCAAATTCAACTGAGTGTCCTGTATTTGTGTTTGCTAAAGGTAGCAACCTTATATTAGTGAATGAGCTGAAATCCTGAAAATTTAGAGTAGAACAGCTTTTTATAATTCAAGTAAAGAAGACCCTGAAATGCAAAGTCTGAACTTGCTCTCTTAAATCCCCTCTAAATCATCCTCATCAGCCCTCCGCAGTCATCTAGGAATGGATTTGTGTAATTTTCCAACTTTAGTCCCCCAGTATGCCTCTGAAATGGCTTCTCTTGTAACAAAAAAAGAGGATTAAGTTCTAGATCAACTGGAAAAATTCTTTGCTTTATTCTGAGAATGGGGAAATTCAGAGGCAAAACTTGTCTTCCATCCAAATTTTGTTCACTGACTCATAGGCTATTAGAAGTAAGCCTCAGTTTCCTCATCTGTCTAATGAAGGGTTTGAAATAAAATGATCTCTAAGAGAGTCTCGCCGGGCAGGAGAGCTGCTGAGACCAATTTAGCATCATTGCAGCAGCAGCTGCAGCAAAGTGAAGGCCTGCTGAGCATCCCTCACTAGGGTGGGCTGCTGTGGCTGGGCTCCAGGTAAATGCGTAATGATTTCATCAGGCGCCGTGTGTGAGAAGCACAATCGGTAATACATATTAATACAACAGATGAGTAACTACTAAATAAATTCGAGTAAAGAGATTACTTTTAAAAAAAGAAGATTATCTGAAGAAATGTATGCTTAAATTTTGGTTCCTTTTTTTCTTTGTATTTAGTGACTTAAAATTAAAAAGAGAAACATATCCAAATTGTAAGAAATTTTGGTGCCCATTTGGTGCCCTGGTTTTATACAACGTATAAGAACTCAAATTTAAAAAGACTCAAGGGCCAGCTCCGTGGCTGAGTAGTTAGGGTCACGCACTCTACTTCAGTGGCCCAAGGTTTCATCAGTTCAGATCCTGGGCGTGGACATGGCACCACTCATCGGGCCATGCTGAGGCGGCATCCCACATGCCACAACTGGAAGGACCCACAACTAAAAAAATGTACAACTGTGTACCAGGGGGCTTTGGGGAGAAAAAGGAAAAAATAAAATCTTTAAATTAAAAAAAAACAAAGACTCAAGCTGAGAAAGAAAGATGCCCTATGTTATGTTACTTTGTCCTCATCTTTTATATGCCCCCTTCCCAATATAATTTTCTGCAGCTCCTCCATCCTTTATATAGCCGACAGCATGCCCATCCTGCATGTTACCCAAGTGCGGGATTCCAGATACTTGAGATTAGTGAGGGGAGGTAAGGGGACCTTTATCTCATTCCTCTCAGTCAGCTGCATCCATCGTGAGCTCCTTCGGCCCTCGGATCATCAGTTTGGCCAACCCCAGGGGCATAAGCCATAGCTATGGCAGCCCGAGCTTAGCTCAGGTCTCTGTCCTTTAATACAGTCCTGCTGTTCTAAAGTGTGTCATGAGCTAGAGTTTCTCATGAAACTGTGAGGTCAGTATCTCTTACTTTTTTCCTGCCTCTCCTTTGTATAGACCTATATTGCTTATAAGGCTAATCTCTACACTGTGGATACCCAGAATTGTTATTGTCTGACTGGAAATACTACATTTTTGTTAATTTCTTGAGGAGAGACTTGTTTGACAGGTTGCTGGATGAAAAGAAAGAAGAGCAGAGTTAATAAGCCTTAGAAGTTGCCTAGGACACAAAAGTTCCTCCATAAACTTTTCTCCTTCATCTACTCAAGACTTAAAATTTCCAAATTTAAAAGGCATATTTTTAAAATACATATCATAAAGTATTCAGAACAGCATGGTACTGGCACAGAAGTACACTTGGCAGAGCAATAGAGTCCAGAAACACATCCTAGTACACCTGAGAATTTCGCAGCAAAGTAGTATTTCAAATCAGTGAAGGAAGAATGAAGTCAAAGTTGATGGGACAATTTGCTAGCATTTTGGAACAAAATTAAGTTGGGGCTCTATCTGAATTCTGAAATTCATTCCAGATGAAATGAAGATTTAAATACTAAAATATACAAAATCATTAAACAAATGGGAGAAATCAGAAGGAGTAGAGAGGCTTCCTAAACACGACATAAAATCTGGGAGGTTGATAAATTTAAGCACATGAAAATGAAGAAATTCTTTATAGTTGTCAAAAAGAAAGTCAAAAGACAAACTGAGCAAAGTATTTTCAGCACATCTGACATAGGGCTAATTTCTTAATATATAAGAAATTTAGAAATCAATTTTTTACAAAACCAGGAACCCTAAAGTGGTAGAAAAATGGGCACATGACAGAGATTGGTAGTTTCCAAAAAAGAGAAATACAAATGCATAGGAAAATTGTTCTTATTCATAATTTGAGAAATGCAAGTTAAAGCAATTAAATAAATACAAGTAAAATATACATTTTCACCTATTAGATTGACAGAGATGAAAAAGATGATAATATCCCATGTTGGCTAGGTTAGGGCAAACAGTAACTCTCAGTCACTTTTAGGAGTAAAAGCTGTCATAACCTTTGAGGGTAAGTCAGTAATATATCAAAATTTGAGGGGCCAGCCCTGTGGTCAAGTGGTTAAGTTCACGCACTCTGCTTCAGCAGCCCGGGGTTTGCTGGTTTGGATCCTGGGCGTGTACCAACACACCGCTTATCAAACCATGATGTGGTGGCATCCCACAGAGAAGAACCGGAATGACCTACAACTAGGCTATACAACTACGTACTGGGGCTTTGGGGAGGAAAACAAACAAAAAGAGGAAGATTGGCAACAGATGTTAGATCAAGGCCAATCTTCCTCACCAAAAAAAAGCATACTTTTAAAAAAAAACCAGAATTTGAAACATGCTTGCTCTTGAACTCAGCTATAATTTGCTCTAAGGGAACACTTGCAGAAACGCCCCCAGGATATACTGTGTGTGCAAGGGAAGCTCACGGCAGCGTTGTTTGGAGTAGTAAGAATGGAAAGCAGTGTGAAATCAGTCAGTAGGGCCTAGCTACATAAATTATTTTCCATGACTACAATGGAATGCTGTGCAGCTGTTTATAAGGATGAGATAAATATTTATTTACCTACATGACAAGATGTTAATGCTAAATGAAAATTAAAAACATGTTTCAGAGCAATATGCTAGTATAATCCATTTATGTGAAAAAAGCATAGATGTACATGTGATTATGTAGTCGTATGAATGCATAGAAAATGTTTAAAAGACTGCATACTACCTGCCAAACTGGCTTTCTCTATGGGGAATAGGAAGCTTGGGGGAAGGGAGCTTTTATATTTGATACACTTTCTTGTTTGCTTTTTCTAGACAAACCTGTACTTTTAACTTGAAAAAATTTAATGAATATATTATGAAAAAATATACCCTGTCCTTTAAATTTAATTTTAAATTCCTATATTTACATGCCCCATTTTTTTAAAAAAAATTTAATTTTTAAAAAATTTTATGTCAATTTCAAAAACAAACAAAAAACTTCTTTCCACCAACTTAAAAAACTTGAGGATTTTTCTGTAGCCCAATAACCTCTTCAGTGTTTGATAATTCACCTGGCCATGCTGTAAACCACAGTGCAGCCTCTTGGGGATCTCCTGGTGAGATTCCGCTGAGAGAGAATGGCCCATCCAGTTGATGATCTTTAATTATTTTTGGAAATGGATGCCAGAATAGAAAATTCGGTAACTGGGTTGATTTCTGTAAAACAGTTGCACTATTAAAAAGCATCCTTTGTTTAAACCAGAGACACTGGGGTAAATTAGAAACACCAAATATTAGTTTTGCTTTAATTTTACACCTGGAATCATTTTTTCCTTCATAAATAATTTGCTTAGTCTTTTCAGTTTAACATGCCAACAGACTACTGTTGGATTTTGCTTCTAGGCAAGGAGCAGGTCTCAAATGACCGTATGGGAGAAAATAGCTCAAGTGACTTTATCCCTTTCAGACTGAGACTTTTACCTCTGCCTTTTTGTCTAACAAGTAGCCATGCATCTTTCCCGTGCAAGTAACTGTTTCCTCTTCCCTCTTGGTGGTCCTGTGTATGTGTCCGCACCTGCTACCAGAGACAGCAGTTGGGAACAGCCGTAGAGATGGAAATTGCCCAGATGCTCGAGGAGAATTCACGGATCCTCAAGTTTGGATATCAGTTTACCAAGCAAGGACCACGAACAAGGGTGGCAGCTGCCATCACAAAGAATAATGACCTGGGTAATGCAGCCACAATATGTGCTGTTAGCAATTAGAAGAGCATGATGGCTGTTAACTTCTCCACTTCAGATATAACACCTCCCAGATACCATTCCCCTGTCCTTTGGTGTCAGCCCTTCATGAAAGGCACATTATTATGTGGTCATAGGAATCCTCAGTGTCTTCACAATATTTCAGTTTTATTGTAGCATTCTCTCAAAAAGAGCTGTTTGTTCTTTTTTCCAGATAGCCTTTGATTTTCGCCTGATTTTCTTTGTGTATTTGCTTCTCCTTTATTTCTTACATGTAATCACCCTCTGTTGTTATTTGCACCAGAAGATGGTTGTGGTGATGTGGAAATTCCCACTTCACTTATGTTTGACTCCTGACTGTGCTTTTGTGCTTGGTTTCAAATATGGTTATGTCTGATACCTTGGTGATTTGCATGTGAAATGAATGGAGCTATGTTATGAGGGTTAAACTCAGAAGTAGCTTTTTCAGTTATCCCCTCTTTAATCTTTCCTGCTGCCCACTCTTTGCTGAGGATCCATGGCATTTCTTCTGTTAGGATGAGGTGGGGCATGGCCTGGTCAGTCACAGCACAGAGGAATGAGACAGGTTAGGAAGGCTTGGTCTGGGGACATCCCAGCCGCCTGGAGCAGCATGGCAAAAGGACATCCAGGAGCAGACACTCCACTGGCAAGCAGTCAGCCAATAGCAGACCTCAGTCCCCAGTTTGAGGTCCAGGGACAAAATGCCAGGCCTTGGACAGGGGAACTGGGCAAAGTGTCCACCAGGTATAGTGCTGGCCGTGGGGAGGATTCAGATAGTGGGAAAGATGGAAGCTAAGGGTTAGAACCAGAAGGGGGCAGGTGAAGATTAGTGTCCAGTTCCCTGCCCAGACATGCTTAGGCAAGACCCTGAGCCCCAGCGAAGGTGCAGTATGTGGCCTCTGGAGGCTGGCTGGGCATATGGCAGTGCTTGCCTTGGGGGTGCAAAGGGTGAAGGTCAGGGGACAGCCTAGCACACAGGGCTTTGGGGAAGGGTGGAGGCAGCAGCCAGAAAGCTCCTAGGAAAAACACATTAAGTCTACAGCTGAACAACACAGAGACCAAAGAAAAACAGGCAAGACAGGAAGTTTGAAGTAAACAGAGAGGCAATCCTGAGCCCATGAGTGACAGCTATGGGCAACAGCTTTAGTCAAACGTTCTGCTGCCTAGGTAGGAGCAGACTGGGCTATTTATAGTGGAGAGCTGGGGCAGGTCCACAGCCAGGGCACCATTTTTGCCAAATGCAGGAAGGTAAGAGTAGCCGGAAGACTCTGACCAGAAGAGCCTGCAGGTGGGGAGGTGGAAGGGAGAGGAAGAGGGTTGCAGAAGCCGGGAACGGGCAGTGGAGGCCACTTCTTTGATCTTAAGGATCTGCTTAAGAGAACCTTAATCTCTGAGTGTGCTTGCCATCCGAATCACGCCTTCCTCGGAGGGTGATACTCAGTTTTTATTTAAAACAGGTTTAGAAACTTGGAACTTCTGTTCGCAGCTCCTCCTGGTCTTCAAACCACCATCAGAATTAATAGATTGTGCGCGTGTGGCCCTGGGGAGTTAAGGCCACTTGGGGATGGGGTTGCACAGAAGCTGAGAAGATGTTCTGTGGATAAGTGACCATGATAATATTTAGAAGTTCACTGTTTCATGGGCCTATTCTGGACCTTCTACTCCCTAGAAAATGAGCAAATTCTAACATTCAGATTCCCAACCATCAGACATAGCTTTATTTAAATATAAATTCCAAAGACGCTGGATTATTCTCTCATTTCCATCTATTGCCATGGGTGATTGAGTATTGAAATTTAAGATAACTGTATCCTCAAGTGTGTGGGATTGCTATTCTCTGTGATTAATGTTGTTTGTCTGAAATTTAAGGAATATTCCTTCACTGTGCCTTTTTAAACCTTTCTTTCTTTCTTACCTAGTTCGTAAAAAGCGAGTTGAAGGAGACAGAAGGTAAACTTCACAAGAAGAGGCGAAGTTTCACCATGGCAGCAATTTAAAAACAAACAAAAACTCTTCTCCTTCCCCATGGGGACCATTTTATCAAAGGTTGTTCATTTCCGTTAATTGCACAACTAATAATTTAATTGTTACTCTTTTTTAGCACTACTTATTTATCTTGGATTTTTTAACATATATAATTGTTTTATTTGCTCATGGGCACCTCTGGCACCTTGCACCAGTGGACTTGTGCAGATCTTAGAGGGTGACAACAATCGAAATTATTTAACCACTTGTCATATTGGGTTATCTTGCTTTCTTACATGAACTTTTTTTTTTTTAACCACTGCAAGGAATTTAGTATGTAAATGTGTTTGTAACTGTGATTATGATAGAGGCCTATCTCTGTTTACATACATAGCTTTGAGTTAGGCTAAAGACGTCAGAAGTATTCTGCTGACCACGTAAGAAGTTAGTATTGCCAATGTTTCACTGGGTGAGAAAATGTGACCAACTTAGCACAAATTCTCCCTTAGTTCCAGAAAAATCGCTCAGTGCACATGGCCCACTGATTGAAGGTCAGTGGTGTTATCTTCCTAAAAGCTAGACAGCATTATGATACTTTAACACAGCATTAGCAAAGAAGTATAAAATATTTATTAACCCACGAATATAGCTTTAAGCCAGACTCACCGGTAGCAAAATGAATTAGCACACCTACCGTTACTGATTATTCAGCATAAATTCGATCTTTGACATCACTCTATGGATAACTTTTTACAAAGCTGTTTTCAAGTTTTCCAGACATGATGGGAAATTTTTAAATTTTAGTGAGGGAGGCTTTTAAAACAGTACATTCCTAAATAAAACAATAATTGCACGTTAAGGTTGTCTGATTCACATGACTGCATTATTTTGGCAAATTTTAGAAGCATTTATTGCTTTATCTTTAGTGTGTTAACAAGATCACGGGATGAAATGTCAACATTCAAGTTAATTATACAGATTTCTGCCCACATGGCGTGAGCCATCCACATATGCGCAAACATCAGTAAAAAATGTGAATGATTGCTTATCCAGATGTTTGTCATCTCAAGGATAAAGCCTGTGAAAGTACAACCGAGATGATTGTATGGTAGTATGCAGTAATCTTTTCATCTAGCAGAGCAGCAGTGAAGAAACGTGACTGCAGCCTGCGCCTCAGGCTCACATGTCTTTGATAACTGTCCGTACCTGAGGCTGTAATTGGTGGCACTCTGACACTGCCTTCATCACTTCTTCCTCCCTTCTTCCTTCCCTTCCTTGCACCTCTCTCTTTTTTCTTCTTTTCTCTGTCATTCCAAGCCTTGGTAAAGGTGACATCGCTTGTGCTGGTGACACCTGGAGCAAAAGAGATCCCTGACTCAGGCAGAAGGGAGGCCCAATCCAGAATTTGTTTAGTAATTGAATGCTCCTGAGTTGCTTCATAGCAGTAAAACAAGTTAATAGGAAAATAGTTCATATATTATTCTAGTTAGCTTATAGAGCACATGCAAACTGTTCAGGATAGATAGCCTTTATAAAATTGGATATTTGCCTATATTATAAGTACCCACATCTGTATCTCTAAAATCCTTTGAAACATCTTATTTTCTTGAGAATATTTTACACTTTTTGAAGAAAGGATGAGCAGAACATGTTGACATTTTGGAACCTAAAAATTCTTTAATTCGTTTTCTACTACATCTCTCTATCTATATATTTTTAAAAAATCATAGTAAATATTATTTTATGGTTTCAGTCTGATTTTTCCTTCCCTCTTACTCAGTTAGGTATGATATATTAGAGCTGACTCGTACAGGCTTATCAATTATTAAATTTCAAGAATTTTGCAAACTGGCTGTAAACACAGCCATTATTAAAAATTAAATGGCATATGCTTACAATTAAATACATTAGGTTAAAAACAAAAGTAATACTCAAAAATACATTTTACTGTTTTCTGTGCTCTTGGAATTATTTGCACTTATTGTGTCTGTATCGCAGAAATACCATATGATGGTATACTCTTGTACATCTCCTTCCATCTCAGAAGTTCACAACTTCTTATTGGTAGATATAAATTGGCCGTAGTGGGAGTATTTATACCATGGAAATTAGCAAATGTTACAAATCAGGGCTTTCTTCCCCCCTAGGTTGCTGGTTGATAAACATTCATTAGCACACCACTGGGTGAAATGTGTACAATTCTTTTTTTGTATACATGTTTTGGTTACCATGTTGCCAAAGGGAAGAACATTTCTCTTACGTGTCTTTCTCCTCTGCTTTAGATTTGTTGCAGATATGTTTAAGTCCTGAGTCCCTGACATGCCCCTCAAAGTAAGACTTCTTCTTTTCTTTTCTGGTTCACTCTCTTCCTTGCCTTCACTCCTAAGAAATCTTGGATCCTATAGAGTATTCTTGGCAGCCCCAAGGTGCTGTGGACTGGGGCTAAAGCAGTTCCTACCTAACGAACCCTGGCAGAAAGCGAGGGGAGAAAAATCAGAATTGGATAGTGACTCTGCTGCAGTTGTTGGTAGTATCAAAGCAAAATAGAGACCTTATCAAAATTTAACACTGTTTTTAGCTTGTAAAATAGTTGAGTCACATAGTAGTATCTGTGAAATCAAATATTTATTACTAATCGGTTTATCTTATCATTACCTGTGTTTTTAAAGTAGCTTCAAAGGTAGCGTTTCCATGAGTACTCGTATATTAAAGATAACTATTAGGAGATAAACTTACGTTTTTGGGAGCCTGTGACTCATTTAATTAGCCTAGGACTTAATTTCCTCATCTGCCCAAAGTGTGTCAGTAGGAGCTCTTTATGATCATGAGCATGACTAATCCTTTACCATCCATCATGGTGGGGCATAATGTACATAAAATATTTTTATGTGTATGCATTTCGCCAGATATTATGTTGAGATATTTGGCAACATCTGGACAACTGACTGAAGGGAGAGCTTCTCTCCCCAGACCACCTCCTTTCCCCTGTGAGGCTTGTACAGGCCCACACTAAGTGTACAGTCACTCCCCTGGACTTGCAGGCTCTGTCACCAACACCCATCCCAGCATGTGTAGAAGATGACTTTTAGGAGATAATTCTGCAAGTCTAGAGATCATATAATTAGTCCACACCACATCCCCCATCTGCCTGAAGTGTATAATAGAAGCTGTTTTATCCTCATCAGCATGATTAAATCCCTTCCTTTCATCTTTGTAGGGCATAATGTAAATAAGTGTGTGTGTGTGCATGTGTGCATGTGTGTGTGAGTCTTGCCAAATACCTAAATATCTAAAGAGGTATTTGGCTACATCTGGACCACTGATTGAAGGGAGATGCTCTCTCCCCAGCTCCATTTCCCTTATCCTTTTTAGAGTTGCTGCAGGCCCAGGTAAAATGTGATATTACTTCCTGGAGTTTGAGGCTTAGGTCACCAACCACCAAATTTCACAGCACGTATAGAGGATAACTCTTAGGGAATACATATTAGAAGCCTGGAAATCTTTCTATTGTTCCAGCACTGAATCTCTCCATATGCCTAAAGTGTATAAGTAGAAGTGCTTTCATCTTCATCAACATGATTAAGGTCCTTCCTTCCATCTTTGTAGGGCATGTTGTATTATAAATATTTTGTACCTACAGATCACCAAATACTATAAGCGGGTATTTGGCTAAAGCTGGACAACTGATTGAAGGGAGATGCTGTCTCCCCATCCCTCTTCCTTTACCCCTTTCAGAGTTGCTGCCGGCCTAGGTTAGATACAGAATCACTAACCTGGAGGGGCACATGCAGCTCACCCGTCTTAGAGCACGCAGTTTCATCTTACAAGAAAAGCCCATCTCCATTTAAAAACTCAGAGATCATCCCAATGCCTATACTCCTCAAAACAATTTCCCTAAGGGGAGCCTGGCACACCAAACCAAACAGAACAACTGCTTCTCTTCCAGACAGAAATATGGCCCCTGGCAGGGCACCAGTGTGGGGGAAACCAGTGTGCTCTGAACAACTGCCATGAGAACATTTCAGACACTCACTCTTGAAACTGGTGTTAAGCATCAGCGTGCTTTAGGTGTAAGAGAGCCCTTAAATTTACAAGAGTTTGCAGGTATTTCCTTTTCTCATGGCCATGATGTGCTTAGCTCTCTTCTAGGCACTGTGAAGGAGACAGAGGGAGTATAAGAACTCTGGATTGATGTAATTTGATATGTGTTTCTCGGGTAGAGTGCCTTTTCCAAAGTGGATACCATCTTTAGTTCAAGTATCCATAGCAGCAGCAAAAATGGGCAGGGGGCAGTAAGTTGAGAACACTGGGTTCTGTGGTATGTTACCTGTGCTCAGTTGTAACTGTTTCTGGAGTCGGGTTTTAAGTCATGATCCTGAAGCTTCCTCTCTTCCACTAATGATGCAATAATCGCTATTTTCATTTTACTGAGCAGAGAACTAAGAGGGAATGTTTTAGCTCTGCCTTCCAGTAGCAGTTTCCCCTTAACTGCTCCTCGTTTCAAATGTCCCTGTCACTCACCAGGCCAACCTGAAAGCTGAAGGACTGAGCCACATGCAAAGGAAAGGTGTGAGAATGCTTGGAAGCATCAGGCTGAGCCTCCTGGAAAATCACATGATCAGGCCTCCAGGTAACAAGCTGGAAAGAGAAAAGTGCCCAGAACGGCAAGGATGTTTCCTTGCTGCCAACTCTAGATCAGATTGGATCTTGTTTTGTGGTTCAGGAGTTTAGTAAAGTGGTTCAGGCTGAGTGAGGTGGGGAAGGAAAGGGTAATGAAAGGTTTTAATTTGCTTAAGGGCAGAAGCCAGCTCTGCTCAGCTTACCTCTTTCCCTTCTGCCCATAACAGCAATGATTAAACATTCAGTAGATGGTTGGAGTAGGAGTTCCAAGGTTTAAATTTGTAACCTGCCTCTGGGTACTGTTCAAGGGAGGCTGTACACTTACCAAAGGTTCTCCGAGTTTTGTGATGCATCATTGACTCGGGAGAGGGTGAAGGAAGCTAGACTGTTCTCTGACGTCTTCCAGGGTTGTCATCTGAGCAGATTGGTTCTGCTAGTTGGTATGGTGGAAAGGCACCATACTAACAGATTTGGAGACCGACTCCTAATCCCATCACCAACACTTAGCAGGTATATGAACATGGGCAATTCATTCAATTGCCTGACAATTATAGACTACATAGGGGAAAGAGCACTGGATTTGGAGTCAAGAAACCTGGACACTTGGCTCCACACTTTCTTAGCTGGGTGACTTTGGGGCAAGCCACTTAGTCTCTCAAGCCTAAGGTTCTTCAGCTGTATTATAATGGGAATAATATCTTCACTAACTACCTCACAGTTGTGGTGAGAATGTAATCAGATAATGGGATGAAAACACTATACTGGAAAGGGCTATACAAAAGTGGGAGATCATTTTTGTTATCTATTCACTAATGTTTTCTGCTGCCTCCTGAATCTGTTTTATTTTCTTCTGACCAACAATTACGTCTCTCACATCTTGTCGAGTCTGGGGCATTGAAGCATGGGTGTGGCGTAGAGGACTGGAATTATTTTACTTTCAACAAAGAGGCAGGAGAGTTGGCTGATGGGGGTGGTGGGTGTTATATACCAGTGATGTAAGTGGTAGGGCATTTTCCTGGGATGGTGAGGACCCTTCCAGAGAGCCTAAGGCTGGACGCAAAAGGGAAGCAAATGGTGATTGAGAATTGAGGGGAGGGTCTGGGGCCCTGTTGCCGTCCTGTCCAGCTCTGTCATCACTGGGGGGAGGGGGGGAGTAAGGCTATGACTTGAGGTGTGACTGGAGGCTTAAGAGAGAAGACTGTCCTTAGGACTCCAGCAGCTGTGTAATAGGCTTGAGTTCTGATAGAGAAGGGCCAAAAGGGTCACCTGTGAGGTCAGCTCTCATGGCAGCAGCTGCCCTGTTATCACCAGCAACCTTAGCCCTAGTCAGTGTTATTTTCTGCTAAGAAAGCTATTGAAACATGGCCTCATAGGACTTTCATAAACACTTGGAGGCAGCGACTGTCTCATCAATCTTTGTGTCTTCACTAGCTTCTAGTAAGGTGCTTTGTACATAATAGGTGCTTAATAAATGTTGCTTGAATTGAATTGTCCTTCAGCCTCACAAGAATTATGCTCCATTTGCCACCATGTGATATTTTTAGAAAACAATGCTGATTTGGATGACAGCTGTGTGTGACTTTGGGCAAGACTTTCCATCTATTGTGTCTTCATTCATCTGTAAAATGAAGTGAGCGGATTAGATGCTCTCTAAGGTCCCTTCCAGCTCCCAAACGTTTCAGTCCTGTGGTTCTAAGGTATTTCCATTGCCTCTGAACATGTGTGAGTAATGCCTCCACCGCAGCCCCATCTCTCTTCTCAAGGCTTGGTTCAGAGGAGGAGATCTCAACCTTCCAGAGTTATCTGTTCCTCTTCAGTGGCTTTTACTGTCTTCAGAATAGTTCTGGAGGAGCAGCCTTTTCTGAGAGGATATTTTAAAATATAGAATATTTTCTCCTCACAATTGGTGGAGAGGGAGAGGAGGAAATGCAGAGAAGGAAACTGAGCACAGTAAACACAGCATGTTTTTCATAGGCTTTTGTTTCAAATGTGTGTGTGTGTTTCTGAGCACTTATTGACTGGATAACAGAGAGAAGCCAATCTGAAGTACACTGTGTAATTGAGAAAAGCGGGCCCAGGATTAAAAATTTCCCATGGATAAGCTAATTGTGGATAGATAGGAATTGGCCACGTGGTGAAATGAGATGGATAGAAAATGTGCTTTTTAAGGGAATTTTATTTTAGTACCAAACATTGCCAGTGACAATCTTTAGTTAAGAAAGAAATTATTCTGACCTAAAATTCTTATCTCTGCCACTTTGGTTTAAAAAGAAAAAAAAAAACACCCAGCATGTTCATGAAATAATATTTGTATTTTAATTAAACTTTTATCTTAATTCTGTTTCATCTATTCAAAGAAAACAAATGGCATTTTTCATTGCTTTTAAAAGTGTAAAATACTTGCATGCCACCAATCTGTAATATTTTACGAGTTCAGATGCCTGTAATGTGTGACTTTATGTGTACTTGTATTGTTTTGAAGAGAACAAAGGAAATAATACTTTGTAAACGGTTTGAACTTATATTGGCAACATTTATTTGGCTAAGCAGTTATTGGAAAATTTCACATAGTTTCATTTTTCATCTTGAAACTTTTCAATCAAAGGTAAACATTTATTATATCCATTAGGGAATTAAAGACTAATTTGCCTTTTAAATGTGAAATTGAACATTGTATGGGAAATAAATGTGTGATGAAGCATGAAATACTTTTACCCTGCTGCTTCGTAAGGATTCCAGTTGGCACAAATAGGTGCAATGTTTGACCCTTTGAAATTAGCCATCCAGACTTAATGCTAAGGTAAATGTATACTGTTTTAATTAATCAAGGTCTTTCTGCTTTCAAAGATATAATGTATTCATTGTGTCTGGAATGCAGTTTCCAAGTGAAAATGTACAGAACATTAGGAATGAATAAACTTTCCATTTAAAATGAAAATAAAAACTGACTTAATCTGGCTAATTTTTAGACATATTGTCTCTTTAAAATAAATGGTTGGCACAGTTTCTCACATTAGATGAATATATTTGCAGAAAAGACTATAAAGTGCCCTTCGGGGCTGGCCTGGTAGCATAGTGGTTAATTTCACGCACTCTGCTTCGGCAGCCTGGGGTTCTCGGGTTCGGGTCCTGGGTGTAGACCTACATGGCACCCATCAAGCTGTGCTGTGACAGCATCCCACATGCAAAATAAAGGAAGAGCAACACAGATGTTAGCTCAGCAACAATCTTCCTCACCAAAAAAAACATCAAATGATAAAATAAAGTGCCCTTATTATGAAGAAGATAAGAAGTAAACAGACAACAGGAAGTAGCCAGAGGGAGAAAGAGAACTCATTATTAAAACAAAAATGCGCATATTCAGCTAAACAGTTAAAATTTTTTAGAATAAATGGGAGAAAGAATACAGATAACCCAAATTGGTTAACTTTTTTACCTCGAGTTTTTTATATGAACTTTGGATTTACTTTTTTTATTTTTTTAAGATTGGCGCCTGAGCTAACAACTGTTGCCAATCTTCTTTTTTTTTTTTTCCTGCTTTTTCTCCCCAAATCCCCCCAGTACATAGTTGTATATTTTAGTTGTGGGTCCTTCTAGTTGTGGCATGTGGGACACCACCTCAGCATGGTCTGATGGGCGGTGCCATGTCCACGCCCAAGATCCGAACTGGCGAAACCCTGAGCTGCCAATGCGGAGCACGTGAACTTAACATAGTTCACAGGGACAGCCCCTACGTTTTTTTTTTTAAGCTGTGCTAGGATTGATAACACAGATACTAAAAATAATAAAGTTACATTGTAATGGTTTGTCCTGGAAAAACAAGAAAATCTACTGTTCCTGCTCTTTCTGAATTCTGCCCTCTTTGTCACTTAGACTCATGATGAGGTCCAAGAAGAAGCTTAGAAGGCCTACGTGTAATTTCTGTATTTGCTGTTTCACACCTTCTCCTGGGGGAGGAAATGTAGTAATTGTTTTGTTTAAAGCCTTCTTTCAGTCTTTGGGGCTGTCATGAACAGGAGTTACTGGTGCGCACTTTGGGGTCAGACTTGCCCAGTTCAGATCTCACTTCTGTTAGTTGTGTGAATTTCTGCAAATTACCTAGCTTCAGTTTCTTCGTCTGTAAAATAGGAATTGTAATCATAGTTCACAGTGGTACTATTATGAGGATTCATGTGTAAAACACTTAGAACAGTGCCAGGCATATAGAAGGCACTTTAGACATTACTATCCAAAATTCCAACTTAGATAAATATCCGTGGATGTTAATGCCAACAAAGTTCTCCATTTTATGCTGACAATGTCAGGAATTTAAGCAGGACTGACTGTTACTCATTTTCGTGTTTCCACTGTCCATTCCCTTCTGGCAGACAGGCCCTCCCTGTCACTCCAGGAATTGAATATAAACAAGATAGAGCTGACCCAGGAGTTTCTCCTGATCCACCCTGTCATTTAGCTTGGCTCTTCATGACCTGATGTTTCAACTTGTTTGTTCTTGCTCTGCTTTCTCGGTGCTCTCCTCTATTTACTTTTTTTTTTTTTTGAGGAAGATTAGCCCTGAGCTAACATCTGCTGCCAATTCTCCTCTTTTTGCTGAGGAAGACTGGCCCTGAGCTGACATCCATGCCCATCTTCCTCTACTTTATATGTGGGATGCCTACCACAGCATGGCTTGCCAAGAGGTGCCGTGTCCGCACTGGGGATCCAAACCGCAAACCCTGGGCTGCCAAAGCGGAACGTGCGCACTTAACTGCTGTGCCACTGGGCTGGCCCTGGTGCCCTCCTTTAGATTTGGCAGTCTGGCTTCAGTACCAACTCCTTGACTTTAGGGTCTGTTGTGTGTTAGACTTGACTCTGTTATGGACCACGTCTATCCGCTTGTTCAGTCAGCCTTTCCCTGTGGCTATAAGAACTGGTTCCCCATACCCTCTCTGCCCCAGCTACCAACCCACTTCCAGTCCCACTGGTCAGGGAACATGAGCAGATGCCCACAGCCTTTAGCAAGTGTCCCACATGTCACAGGACCACAGTAGGACCTGGATATATGCATGCTCGAATGAGGTAGGGCTGTGCTTTGGACCCAACCAACCTAAGAAGGGAGGTGATGTAGGAAAACCAGGGGGCGGGGTGCATGACTCAAAAGTTTGCTTGATGGTGGACAGGGGAGGAATTTTCCAAACTGTAGACCACTGAACTTATCAATCCTGAGCAAAACTTTAGAAAAGTGTGTTCTCTGCTTTAGTGGTCTGTAACCATTTAGAAGTGAAGCAGTGGTCTCTAAGAGGCAGCACAGATTCACTTAGAATAAATGATAGGAAGTCACGAGAATACAGTCAAAAAACACACAGTATCTGGATTTCAGCCAGACGTTTGACAAACCTCACAACATGCTTGAGAAATGTGGGCTCCGTAACGGTGCAACTAAATAGTTAAATGACTGATTTAAACAGTCTTTTTGGGGGCCGGCCCCATGGCCAAGTGGTTAAGTTCATGCCCTCGGCTTCAGCGGCCAAGGGTTTCGCTGGTTCTGATCCTGGGCGTGGACATGGCACTACTCATCAGGCCATGCTGAGGCGGCGTTCCACATAGCACAACCAGAGGCACTCACAACGAGAATATACAACTATGTACTGGGGGGCTTTGGGGAGAAGAAGAAGGGGAAAAAAGAAGAAGATTGGCAACAGATGTTAGCTCAGGTGCCAATCTTGAAAAATTAATATAGTCTTTTTTGACTCTTGATCATAAGTCTATGCTGATGTACAGAAGAATTTCAACCAGAAGGGCTTAGTAGCCACCAAAGGGATCTTTCCTTGACATGTTTTGATCAGCAGTTTATCAGCAATTTGGTTGTGATACTGATGGAATACCAAGTGAGTCTTTAGTTGATGGGCACTGGGAAGGAAAAGGATTATTTTGACGGGTTCAAAAATATCAGACAGGCCAAAGGACAAGCCTGTATCTAATCACATCAAATTCTGTAGAAGTTATAGTACAGCTTTCTACTTTTAATCCAAAAAAACAACTACAAAAGATAGAATGGGAAAAATATGACTTAACTGCCCTCTGTGTGGAGGGATAAAGACTTTGGTGTTGACAAAAGCTTAACTGTGAATAAGAAGTAGAATGTGCCTGCCTAAAAGCTAACTCTGTATTAAGTGACGTTAGACAAAGAGTCTTGGTATTTGGCCAAAAATCTGCTATTTTGCCTGGGCTTTGGGCCTCAGCTTTTTTTTTTTTTTTTTTTTTGAGGAAGATCAGCCCTGAGCTAACATCTGCCACCAATCCTCCTCTTTTTGCTGAGGAAGACTGGCCCTGAGCTAACATCCATACCCATCTTCCTCTACTTTCTATGTGGGACGCCTGCCACAGCATGACTTGACAAGTGGTGCCATGTCCACACCCGGGGTCCGAATCGGTGAATCCCAGGCCGCTGAAGCAGAACGTGCGAACTTAATTGCTGTGCCACCCAGCCGGCCCCTTGGGCCTCAGCTTTTGAAATGCCTGCTTCAATATTATCTTCATCATCCTTGACCTTTGGCATGGTTGGTGTTTAGGTGTTTATAAAGGTTATTCTTATATCCAATCAGTCAACGCTGTTGCTGAAAAGAACAAAGTATGTCATTTAGACTTGCTTTATTATATGAATATTCATTTTCAGATACAGGCATGCATTCTAGATGTAACCCAAGTGAAAAATCTCTATGTTATTTATTTTTTGAAATTCTATCAAAAGTATAAATGTATATAAATTATTGGATAATAAAATGCTGTAATAATTGCTGATTGTGAAAGGTGTATTTTAGGCTCAAAATCAATTCAAAATAATTAAAAATTATTAAGAACTTTCAAGTGGATAAATAGGAAAAGAGATTGACAGTTACTACAAATATAAGGAGAGAATGCATTAGCTAGATAACTTAGGAAGAACAGGATGTCTTTTTTAGCCAATAAATGTTTATAAAAATTATAACACAATACAATAATAATACAAGGAAGGATAAGTAGAGATTATATCATATCATAATTCCATTCTTTGTAGAAATGTTTGGTGTACCTAGCATTTATGATTTAAAACCAGAATTTAATTCTTATTCAATTCCATTTAGGTCACAGATCTGTGCCTAATCACCCTTTTTGCCCCCCTCCCTCCCCACTTCCCCTCTGGTAACCACCAATCCAATCTCTGTTGCTATGTGTCTGTTGTTGGTTTTATCTTCTACTTATGAGTGAGATGATACAGTATTTGACTTTCTCTCTCTGACTTATTTCACTTAGTATAATACCCTCAAGTTCCATCCATGTTGTCACAAATGGCCAGATTTCATCATCTCTTATAGCTGAGTAGTATTCCATTGTGTATATATACCACATCATCTTTATCCATTCGTCCCTTGATGGGCATCTAGGTTTCTTCCAAGTCTTAGCTATTGTGAATAATGCTGCAATGAACATAGGGATGCAGGTATCTTTATGCATTGGTGTTTTCATGTTCTTTGGATAAATACCCAGCAGTGGAATAGTTGGATCATATGGTAGATCTATTCTTAATTTTCTGAGGATACTCCATTCTGCTTCCCATAGTGGCTGCACCAGTTTGCACTCCCACCAGCAGTGTATGAGGGTTCCCTTCTCTCCACATCCTCTCCAACACTTGTTGTTTCCTGTCTTGTTAATTATAGCCATTCTGACAGGAGTGAGGTGATATAGCACTAACACTTAAAATAATAATTAGAACTTTGGTATAAAATGTTAGGTTTATTTGTGTATCCTAGAAGTTTGTTCTTTGATAGTGGTATTTGTCAGCAACCTTGGCTTCAGCTGAAAATTTAAACTCTCAGCCCTTTGGCATTTGGCTGAAATGTATAGTCAGTGCACCTCCAGTGAAGTCATAACGAAGTATGAAAACATGAGGAACAGCAAAATTAATTCCAGCTGATGGCATTACGGGAGTTTGAATGAGAAGTAGGGATTGAGATGGACAGTGAAACATGAGGAGGCTTCTAACAGAGACGGTGATAGGGAAGGCCATTTCAAGCCGCAGGGGTTGCTTGAGTCCTTTCTATACAATTGCATGCCCCAGCCATGGTGCTACCTTCTCTGGTTTCTTCCTCCCACTGCTTTCACCAATGTCAGGTTCCCAGGATGAAATCCTTACCTTTTAGTTTCAAGTTTATATCTTCAGCTTAAGTTTTCTCAGCTCTCCTATAAAATACGTGGCTAGGAAAAAAAACTGAACTTAAACATTTGAAGGAAATTATTTCCTAAAGGAACCCTTTAATAACAAGAAAATTGCTGCTGGCTTTAATTTGCAGGTGATGATTCAGTGTGACATGCTTTATGAGTTACTCTAGCTGGAAGTTTAAAGATAACACTAATTAGGGGTTGTAATACATTAAATACAATTACAGTGTCATTTTACCAATCACTTTCACTCTAACCGAAGCCTGAAAACTAATAAGAACCATAGTCTGTCCTTATTCAAATATTTTACCTAACAGTCAGAGATTTGTTCTCTGTGGTATGTTGAACTTAAACTGTCTCCCATCACTTGAGGTGGGGTTAAATGCACGGGGTCGGGGGGAGGGGTGCCATGCCACTTCTGTTTCAGAGGATCACCTTGTACTGAACCGTCACTGCAGTAGTCAGCTTTTGCTTGGTCAGTCTACAGTAACAAACAAACCTAAATCTCAGTTTACTTCTTGCTGACATTACATGTCAGTAGCTGTGTTTGGCTGAGGCACTGACCCATGTGACCCACCCTAGGACCAGGCAGAAGGACCAGCCTCTATTTGGAACATGCCCTTCTCTTGGTGAAGGGAAAAAGTAAGCACACTAATGGGAAACAGCAATGGCCCTTAAAGCTTCCACTCAGAGCTGTCCCAGTGTCACCTCCACTCCCATTCCATTGGCCAAAGCAAGATTCATATTTGGAAGCTTTGTGATTCCAATACAACGTTTGTGTGAAGAAAGAAGGAAAACCTCATACCAGATCATAGCCAAGCCTGACAGTGCAGCGCAGTGGGCGGGGCTGTCTTTTCCTCTAAAGGAGAGCAAGTACTTGGGGACAATATTTCAGTCCACCACAGGTATTTAGTGAATTTACCTTTTCACTTATTTATGTAAATACAATTTTCAGGTTTTTCGTTTTTTTTTTTTTCTTCAAGAATTGTGTTCTTCTAACTATAAGCTCATAATGGCAACTCATGAAGTATAGTGTTTTTAAAAGAGAGCTCTGTCCCCATTTCAGAATGAGTTTCAGTGGGTCTTGTCCTGTGGAGCCAGCCCTGTTGCAGCTGGTGTTTATATCCGAATCAGGTCACTGGCTGGCATTTACAGGCAAACCCTCTGGTTTTGTGTCCTGAAATGAGAGGAGGAGGGGAAGGGAAGGATTCAATATTCATTTATTTACAAATACTTATTGGATACCTACAGTGTGTCAGGCATTGTTGCTGATGCTAGAGATAGAGAGGTAAACAATACAAAGTCCTCCTGAGCTTATGCTAATAAGCAAGATGATGTCAGGTAGTGACGAGTGCTATGAAAACAAACAAAGTAAAGAAAGGGGAGAAAGACAGGGTGAGGAGATCAGAGAAGACCTTTCAGATGTGACATTTGGGCAGAACCTTCATTAATACCAGGGCATGGGCCATGAGTATTTGGAAGGAAGAGCATTGTCCCATGTAGTGCAAAGATCTTGAGAGGGGAATATGCCTGGCAGGACTGAGAACCCTGAGAGAGGCCAGTGTGAGTGCAGCAGAGTGAGAGAGAGTGTGGTAGGAAATAAAATCGTCCTGTAAGGACTTGGAGCGGTGGTAACTTGGAGTTTCATTTCAAATGTGATGGGAAGCCATGAATGATTGGGGGCAGAAGGGTGACAAGATCTGATTTGTTTTATAAAGATCATTCTGGCTGCTGCTGTAGAGAATAGATTGTAGCAAGAGAGAGGAAGCAGTGAGGGAGGTTCTATTTTTTACAGTTTTATATGCTATTAGGATGTTATTCTTAACATCTCTGGTCCTATATATGGTATTTAATGTACATGGGTTTAGGAGATTCATGTTTGTAAGCCTTGTGATTACATAATGATAATATTTGTTTGAAGAAAGGGAAAAAAAAATCCAGCACCAAAGCACTTTATTTTAGAAAAAGGAACTAAAATAAGATGCAGACATTTGTTAGGAAAAAGAGAGGGGCCAGCCTGGTGATGCAGCAGTTAAGTTCGCACGTTCTGCTTCAGCGGCCCGGGGTTCACCAGTTCGGATCCCAGATGCGGACATGGGACCACTTGGCAAGCCATGCTGTGGTAGGTATCCCACATATAAAGTAGAGGAGGATAGGCACGGATGTTAGCTCAGGGCCAGTCTTCCTCAGCAAAAAGAGGAGGATTGGCAGTGGATATTAGCTCAGGGCTTATCTTCCTTAAAAAAACAAAAGAAAACAAACAAATAAACAAAGAATAGCTAAAAGAGAAAATAATGTACACCTAACACCCCATACTGAAAGGTCAGGGAGGAAACATGTCTTAGATTAAATCAGTCAGACATTGATTTAAAAGACTTTCTGCCTAAAAAGCAAAGCAAAAGAAGCCACATTGTGGAGGAAAATCCTTCTTAAAACAAACCACATCTGGGTGGCTGTAGTCCTCAGTTCTGCTTGTTCAGGAACTCCATTTTGTCAGTTTCCCCAAGAGTGATGCCTCAGAGGTATAGCAGGAATTCACGAGAGACTTGCTGGTAAGCCAGAATACCTATATATTAACTTATAATGAAATATAGAACTATCAAATGAATCCAGATATTCATCTCATCCAGTCAGAGTTAGAGAATTTGTTTCATGTACCATGGACATGGCCACAGATTATCTTACTTTAAAGAATTTGACGAGATTTAGGAGACACATTGATCAACAGTGAAAAGCATGCTGGAATTTGAGTCAGGCTACTTGTGCTTTATTTCTGGATCTCCAGTTACTAGCTCTGTGACCTTGTGCAAATTACTTAACTTTTCTGAGTTTTAGTTTTCTCATCTGTAGAAGTGGAGGATATTAATATATTCTTATAGGGTTACTCTGAGGATTGGATGAGATATTATAAATGAAGAGTTGGCACAGTGCTTGGTGTGGATTAAGTACTCAATAAATATTAGTTGAACCTGAATTCTTTAGGAAGTTGCTCTCAGAAAGCTATCTGCAAGAATATTTGAGAAATTGATTCACGCTAATTTGCCATAGGAAATAAGATGCAGTGGCCACAAGATTTAATGTTGATGATCTTCTAAAAGTATTTGCCATTTAGGAGGGGTTTTTTTCTTAAAAACTGAATCATCAGTGACCTTCATTGCTGGGATTAGTAGGTGCCAGTTGCATGAAATTCCAGAGTGTTTACCTAGGGTGCTCCTTGCTCTCAGGGGCAGAAGTAGATGCCAAGAGAGGTTTAACCGTAGTTGGCTACCACACTGGGTGTAGCTGGAATGTACCTCAAGCAGGCACTTCAGTCCACTCCCTGGCTGCCTTTGGGAAAGAAGGTGTTTCAAAGCTGAGCATTACTCCTGGGAATGGTTTCCTCCTGAAGACAGACCAGGAAAATTGCCGCTGAGTGACTGAATGAATGAATGGAAGGCCATCGCTGTTCCTTCTCCTCAGAGCCCTAAAGAAAAGGCAGCCATTGAACTGTCCCCCTAGGTAATCCCATGGTCTCCATCCTCCTCTCCGGACTACCGATCTGCCTCAGTCCCCTCCCTTGAGCAGCGCCCACCTACATTGGCCCAGCTCCACCGCCTCGTGAAGCTAGAGCTTGAAGCTGGAAAGGGAGGATGGGATGAGGCCGAAACTGCCAGGGAACATAAGGGCTGTTGCTGCGACATCATCCCTGGTTGCATGCCTAAGGAAATCACTAAAGTCACTACGCTTTTGAGGTGACATCTACCTGATTTATGCCCCTCTTGTGCCTTAGCCTTTATTTGCTTACTTTTCTTTCGGTTTTTCCTGACAAGTTTAAAGTGCTCGACGTCATGTCCTCGCATTAGCAACCAAGGCTACAATACAAGCCCTGCCTTGTATGCCTCTTTAGTAAATGTCAAACTAAAGAGGAAATCTATACCAAAGAGCTTCCAGCTGCTGTTTATAGCTCCCAGAGGGTCGAGGGTAAATATTTCCAAGAGTAGAGAGCGTCGTCCCAGGCTGGTGTAAGGTTTGGCATCCGCAGCCGCTTCCAAAGTCCTGCAGATTGTAAAGACCAGGGTCAGCACTGAGCTTAGCTCTCCTCGCTCGAACTACAACTCCCAGGATGCCCTACGACCCGGGAGTGCGCATGCGCATCGGTGGCGGAGGGGGAACCAGCCGCACGGACAGCGCCGGCGGGTTGGGGGAGCTGCTGGCGGGTGGATCCGGCAACTCCCTGGGAGGCAAGCGCGGGCAGACGAACGGGCGCTGGGAACTGGGCGGCAGGCAGTCCCCGCGGGTCTGTGAAGGAGGTCGGTGATCCCAGCAGGCGCCAGCCAGGTAAGCCCAGCGCGGTGCTTTCCAGGAAGTCCGTCTGCGGGCGCGGGCAGGGAGTCGCACGGGCCATGGTGGCTGAGCAGGGAGAGGTTGCTGCCTTCCAGCCGCCCGGCTCCGGTCTCTCCTCTTACCGGTCCCTCCCGGGGAGCGAGGGGAGGCCGGGGGCTGCCTCGGGGCGGACGGGCCCGGGTGGGGGCCGTGGGGCGCGCTGGGCGTCGCCCGCGGTGGAGGCGCGCGAACCCCGAGCCGCTGATGAATCACTCGGGGGCCCGGCCTCCCCGGGTTCGGGACCGGCCCCTTCCCCTCCCGCTGGAGCCCGCGCCGGCCGCGGCCGAGGAGCTCGCCCTGCCTGCCCGCCCTGCCACCGCACCGAGGCGCAGCTCGGGGCACAATCGTCTGAAGGGTTTTCTCACCAAGTCTCCTTTAAAGACTTGTGCTTGTTGAAAGTTGGAAAGGAAAAAAAAAAAACCCCAAAATCTTAGGGGCACACCCTTTTTTTTTTTTTAAATCGAAGTCTAGCTTGTCTTGCATTCGCCGTTTTTATCATTCTGCTCTGTCTTAGAATAAATTCCTGGCTGCCGTGCAGCACAGCTGGATCCGGCTGTGAAGTTTGTGTGCTGGTTTGTTTTGAGGACGTGACTGGGTCGTTTTATTTTTGCTAACAGGGGTTGGTGTGTTTCCTCTGCGAGCCTGCATTCTGATTACAAACAAATGGGAAACAGCCGCAGATTTATTTATTTATTTTTCGTGTTTAGTTAAGAATCGCATTTCCAGCTTGCCCTTGGCCTCTCTTAAAACCAAAAGTCGTCTGGGAATGAACACGGCGGTGAAACTTATCCCAGGAGGTCGTTCTTGAACAGGAAATAAGCCTGTGGAGATTGAAGTTCGGCATGTGCGGTCTCCCTTGGTCTGTAACATTTTCATGCAGCTCCTGTTTCTTTTTCTGAGAATCCTTCAGATTAATTTTTCGGCAGATTAAGGTGATTAATTAACTGGCCTGTCAAAAAAATATATACGAGGCTTAGAAAAATAGTTTAGTCCAGCCTCATTTACCTTTGCTTGACTCTTCTTCCTAGTCCTTGGCACCTTTTTATCCTATCGCTTAAGAGCCTGCAATCATTTTATTGTTAGACTTAGAATCCCCTTTCTAATGCATTCCTATGAAAGGAACAAAAACGGAATTAAAATGTGAGATCCAATATATTCCAACTCTTTTAGCTTGCTTACTTTTTAACCTCTCAGATGTCTAGTTTGCTCATCTTTAAAAAGAGGTTATTGGACCAGGGGACACTGAGATTATTCCAGCTCTAAATATCTCTGATTTTTTTTTTTAAAGATTGTCACCTGAGCTAACAACTGTTGCCAATCTTCTTCCTCTTCTTTTTTTTTTTTTTCTGCTTTTTCTCCCCAAATCCCCCCCAGTACATAGTTGTATATTCTTAGTTGCAGGTCCTTCTAGTTGTGCTATGTGGGACGCCGCCTCAGCATGGCCTGATGAGCAGTGCCATGTCTGCATCCAAGATCCGAACCGGCGAAACCCTGGGCCTCCGAAGTGGAGCATGTGAACTTAACCACTAGGCCCCGGGGCCAGCCTCTAAATATCTCTGATTTTTAAAATTGACTTATTTTATTCATTCAGGAAACATTAGCCACATTTGTCATTCCTAGCCCTGTACTAGCCTGTACTAGGCATGAAGGAACAAAAATGATTTTTTGAGAGTGTTTGTGACCTAATGATCAGTTTCTTTTCAACATGTTCTTATGACTAATTCCAAGTTTTGTGGTATACTTTCCAGGCCAAATTACTCTCTAATTAATAACTTCGCCTAAAGTGAAATACGTATAGGTCACATCCCCCAATGCAATGATCGGTTTCACTCTAATCAGATTTTTCAAGTCTCAGCTACTGGTCCATTTGAATAAAACACAGTTTCAGTACAACAGAAAGGACTTGAATGGTGTATGCCGGTGCTTCTCAAACTTCAACACACACAAATCACCCAGGGTCTCGTAGGTTTGAAGTGGGGCCCCAGAATCTGCAAGTCAGATAGGGAATGATGTCATTGCTGTGGGAGACCACACTTTAAATATCAAGGGTTGGGAGATGTTTTAAGGTGTTTATAATGACAGTTTAGAGACTGATGCTGATAGCTATGATGTTAGATGCATAGTGATTGGCTTTTTCCAACTCTCAATTTTTAAAAATAATCCTACTCACTCTAACAAAAATAATTGCCTGCACAAGTTTTTTGTGTTTTCTTTTTTCTCCTCTTTCTTTCCTCTCTCTTTGCTGTTTCCTCTCAGCTTTTTTTTTTTTCTTGTCCTCTTCCACCCTCAGTTGTTTTCATTCATGTTTATTCAGTAATTCAAAATGTGTTTTACCCCGTCCTGTACAAGACACTGTCTTAGGCTCATGGTGAATACAGACATACAAGACATGGGTTTTGTCTGGGCGCTTCGTCTCTCTGAGATAAGGCGTGCGTGCTTGTTTATAGTTCACAACACTGCCAGAGCCATCTGAGGGAATACAAGCGTGCAGCGGGAGTTCAGAGGGAGAGGTCTCTTACATTTCTGGGGATGGGAAAGAAATGAAGTCATCTTTTTTCCACTCACTGGACATCTCTGTACCCCCAGGCTATACTCTCTGTTCTGTTTGAGCATATATGACATATTTACATAGAATACAGTACAATTTTATAAATTTATTTATTTGGAACCTGGGGTGAATGAAAATCAGTTAGATCTGAGCAGTATCGTAGGAAAGGGGAGAGTTGGTGGGGATAAAAATATACCTGGATAGAAACCAACAGAGAGAGGGGAAAAGATGAAGAGGAAGGAAGACAGGAGGACCTAGGAAAACAGGAGGAGAAAAGAGCTCAGGTTTTCAGCTGTTGGTTTGATGTACACTGCTCTTGTTATTTTGGCTATGTTACCATCTTTTAAAGATCAAATTAGCTGGCAAACTGTTCTTCATCCTTTTCAGTTTCTCTTAAATTTAAATATGTATGGGCTCACTCTTGATTCAAATAGTTGAGGAGGGCATTATTCTCTAGGCTGTAATAGTGGCTAAAGCACTGTCTTCCTCCTGTCATCAGCCTACCTTGCTGACATTTGATTTACATGCCTTGCTTATTCTCATTTTATCTCAGATTCTCTAAAATCACAACTATAAAATCATACCGAGAGGAAAATGGTGTAGAAAACAGAAAATTCTACTGGACCTGCAACAGTCCATTAAGTACATATTAAAATTGTGAAGAATCAAACTTGCTTTGGTATTTACGAAAAATTAAACATGAACTCATATACTCATATCTGTCTACCTATATATAGATAATCCATTAGGTTCTTTATGGTAATGAAGGACTAGAGATCTGAATACTCCAGAGTGGCAAATAATTGAAAATGTATGTGTGGCATTCTAGAATTTCATCTGAAACAAAATCATTAACCTATGTCTTGAAGCAGAGTGTTAGTTTATATATTTTTTTATCAGGGTATAATTAACATTTAATGAAATGTACATATCTTGTGTCCAGTTCAAGGAGTTCTGGCAATTTTATATACTGTAACTTCTACCAAAACAAGGGAGAAACTATTTTTATCATCATAGAAAGTTCTCTCATGCCCCTTTCCAGCCATTTCCCTCACCCACCCTCCTCCAATGGGAACCGCTTTGTGCCTCCATAGTTCTGACCCTGTAGATTTGTTTTGCCTTGTCTTGGACTTGATGTAAATGGAATCATACAGTGGTATGTGCTTTTTGGTGTCTGGCTTCTTTTGTGTAACAGTGTTTTTGAGATTCATCTGTGTTGTTTGCTTATATCAGTGGCTTGTCCTTTTTTGTGGGTGAATAGTATTCCGTTGTATGAATATGCCCCAATTTGTTTGTCTGTTTTCGTCTCGATGGATATTTGGGTTATTTTCAAGTTTGAGCTATTAGGAATAAGGTTGTTATGAACATTCTTTTATAAGTCGCTTGTATATATGTTTTCCCTTCTCTTGATAAATACCTAGGAGTGGACTTACTGAGTCATGGGGTAGATGTATGTTTAACTTTGTCTAAAAAAAACCTTCAAAACAGTTCTCCAAAGTGATTTATATATGAGTTCCAGTTGCTCTACATTTTTAATGTTGCCAAATCTCAGTGCTGTCAGCCTTTTTTATCCTAGCCCCACTAGAGGATGTAAAATGGTAACTCATTATGGTTTTAGTTTGCATTTTCCTGGTGAGTAAGGATGTTGAATGCTTTCTCGTGTGCTAAGTGGCCCTACTATATCTTCTTTCATGAAGTATCTGTTGAAGACTTTTGCCTGTTTTTTCATTGAGTGGTTCGTCTTTTTATTGCTGTTTCTAGAAATTCTTTAAATATTCTGAGTACACATCTTTTGTCAGATATATGTTGGCAATATTTTTTACCCAGTCTGTGGCTTTTCTGTTTGTTTTCTTAGTGATGTTGTGATGAGCAGAAATTTTTAATTTTGTGAAGTCCATTTATCAGTTTTTTATTTTATGGTGTTTTTTATGCCTATCCTTAGGGTTTTCTTCTAAAAGCTTTCTTGTCGTAGGTTTCACATTTAGGTCTGTGAGCCATCTCAAATTAACTTTTTTTTATGGGAGGTAGGAGTTTAGGTTCATTTTCCCTCCATACGGATATCTAGTGGTTTCAGAAACACAGATTAAAGAAAAACTTTCCTTTCTCCATTAGATTCATTGGCATCTTAATTGAAAATCAGCTGAGTTACTTTGTATTTTAGTTGTGCTTGTATTGTCAGTTTCTTAAGTACCCACCCTGGATCTTCAGGAAAGAAACAAAAAACTTTTATGCACCCCTTCTACACTGCAACTAGACTGAGGCTGATCTAGGGCTGGTTACCATGCATTTCCAGATGGAGGAAAGCTAATATGAATTTGAATTTTAAGTGTCTCTTCTGTGGGTTGAGTTAATGAAGGCAAGCTCGTCAATAACAGTTGCACCACGCCCATAAGCCAGGCAGCTAGTG